CTGAGCCATTAAAAACATTCCAGCCATATTTACTTTGTCATCCCTTGCTCAAAAGTATTGAAGTTACTTGAGAAACATGTAAAAAAAAAAAAAAAAACTAATGCTACAAACCTCTTAGATTCCAAGTCTACTTCTAAGTAACAGTAATCGATTTGAATATTAAAATCTTCAAACTTCTTAACATAAAGTATCTAATCTTCAACAATCATTTCTATAAAGCAGTTTATTCTTCCTTGACTCAAGTGTAAACAAAGATTACTAGGTGCAGATGAAATTTAATCTCCTTAAAAATCTTACTATCTATGAATTCAAAATACACAGGAGTAAAAACATAGACAAAAGTATATTTTTATGAGAAACTAGGGAAGCAAAGTAATCAAGATTAAATAACTGAAGGGGGAAAGTGAAATAATAGTAAGGTTAAGAAGAAGAAAAATTGAATTTCACTATTCAACATGAGGGTAGGGAGTTAATCCTCTAAGACTTTATGAAAATTTATTTTCAACAGTTTTGGCAAAAAAATATTTAGTTTTTAAATTTACTCCGAATATTTCTCTGAATAATATCCTCAACTGATATAAACCATTAATTTAAACTACATAACTGCACACTGACAGAAGAGTAACTTCACAATATTTTTCAAGTTAGCTTTTATAGCCTTACCAGTAACAGCCCTAGACAATGACAACCTCTCAGGCAGAAATATGTACTTGACTCCTACAATTGCCAAATTAAAGACAACACTTATTCCATGCTACTAATAATCAATGAAAGATATTAAATCTTACTATTAAATATTCTATGTATGTTTAAAACATTTTCTCATGATTAATAAAATTAACTCAAGTTCTCTAATAGTCTCATTTTACTTAATTATGAAAAAGTCTAAAAATCAACTAAAAAGATATTTAAATCTAACAAAGGGAAGAAGCATACTATCAAATATAAGCATTACAATGCAAAAATACCTTTTTTTACATCTTTTTTGGAGGAAGTCTGAGGCATTTTACAAAAGTAGTAATTCTTTAAGATTTATGGTAGAAAGAGAAAGAACCACTGATTTTATACTTTAAAAATACAGATTACTGCTCTTAGTACATTAAGCTATACTACAAAAATATTTTGATTTAACAAGTCTCCTTTCTCCTAGTGACTTGAACATATACAGCAACCCACGTCTTCAAAATTTCAAAAATAAATCAACTAAAAAGATTTGAGCAACTTCTGCAAGGGAGTAAATGCTGACAAGAACATCTCATTACCCACTTACTTTTAATAACCCTCTACATACTTTAAGTGATTAACAAAAGGTAGTGAACAGTGGAAACAAGCATGTGTTATCTTGGGAAAGTTTCCTAGGTTTTCCTATTAACTCCAGACCCAATTCAAAAATACTTCTCTACACATATAAAATCCAAGTTTAAAATACACATACACACACACACACACACACATATATATATATGGATTCTATGTGCAAAACTGTATTTCAGTGTTGACACAAAACTCCCAATTATTCCTGGTAGTCATTTCCTGTGGTTCCAAAGGCAATTCAATATGAATATGCAGCATTTTTTACACCACATTTAAGTTGGAAGTCATAGAATTTTAGAGTTTGATAGCATTTAGAGATTATCTAATCTGAATCTTTTGGTTCTTCAAGCAAAGGAGAAAATCTATATATATACCAGACCCCTTAACCAGAATTGCTTCTAGTTCTCATATCTTAGGAAACATGCATTATTCTACTTATTTTACAGATGAGGAAACTCAGGCTCAAAAACATGCCTAAGATCATAGTCTACAGAGTGACAGAGCTAGAATTTTAATTCTAATGCCCTGACCCTTAAGTTCAGTGCCCTTTAACCACATAAAGCTGCAGTCTAATCCTTCAGGTAACTTGCAATCAGAATTGTATATGAGAACTATTTAAGAAATTTCCATTTCACCTACTACTTAGTTTGAAGAATCTTATTTCAGAACCCAAAAAATTTAAACATAAATGTTTATTTTCACAGCAAATATTAAGAGCACTTGAATTCTGATAATTTAGTAAATACTAATATACAATTCTAAAGTACTGCTACTTCTTCCATCTTAAGTTTAAATAAGATGATTTAAATTTCTAAAGTTAAATATTTTCTATTTTACTAAAATTGCAGTAAGCCTCCTAGTGCTGGGTGAAGGCTTAAAGCCAGATTCTGTCTCAATTCTGCAATAGTTTTAATAAGTCTACTGCAAAATCTAAACCTTTCTGATTCTATTTCTAATCTCATGATTAACTTAGATCATCATAATTTATTGCCAGACATTTTTTCTAAATTGCTTCTAGTTTTCATATCTTAGGGGATACATATTATTCTATTTATTTTATAGATGAGGAAACCAAGGCTCCGAAACACTAAGTTTTTCAAGAAACTAAGCTAGTTAGTAGCTGAGTTGGAATTTAAATACACCTCTGCCTTGGCCCAAGCTGGAGCCCACAGTCCTTGCATTATACCACTTTGCTCAAAGTCTAAGATTATTTGATTGGGAAGACAAGAGGTACTATATTTGCAAGAGGTACTATTCAGGAGGTAAAAAGGATTGGAGCAGGAATTGTGCAACTGGTTCAGCCACCACTTGAGATACCCCCAACCCACATAAGAGTTTCCTGCTATTGCTCAACCTGGGAGGCAGCATCTGTAAGTACTTGGGTTCATTCCACGTATGTGGGAGACCTGGCTGGAGTTCCTGTGGCACCTGGGAATGAACAAGGTGATCAAAAATATCTACCGACATCTCTTCCCCTCTACCTGTTTCTCCCCTCTACCTGTTTCTCCTCAGTCTCTGTCACTCTGCCTCTCAAATCTTTTTTTAATGATAAATTAAAAATACACACTGAAAAAATATACTGTGACACTTTCCCTAATTATTAAGTTGAAAATTAATTTTTGGTAAAAGATTGTAAAACTAGCTATACCATAGGTACTATTCTTATTACTGTTCTTAGTACTATATACCCATACAATTAAAAAGTATATCAATTGGGTTTTGGAAATAACACAGTAAAGTTGAAAATAAGCACTTCTATTCCTAATTCAGTAGCAAAAATAAAATTACTCCTAAAGTACCATTAAATCAAATACATAAAGAGATTTTTAAAAAGTGAGCATATATTTGTGTGAAAGAGAGAGCATAAGAAACCAAAAATGTTGCTTCCAGTTCCAGACTTCTCAAACAGATAAAAACACCCTGAGCAAGAAAAAAGGATTAACTGATGTTTAACACTGTACATTTACACAGTATTTACACTCTATCAACCTATCTTTGTCATTGCAGGTGGATAAAGATTAGGAGATTGTGACTCTTTAAGGTCTGAAAGCTTCCACAACACAAGTTCTTCTGTGGTCTTACATAAGTAAAATAAGTAAAAATGTGCAGTGAAATTAATGAATATAATTTTTGGTAGACAGTTTACAATGCATTCCCTGTGTAAGTTTAAGATATACTGGGGTTGAGTGAGTGTGGTGGTGGTGGGGGAACCCTAGGGTGAATGTAGGGCATAATTACCAAGAAACTCAGCCTAAAAGTAAAAGCAGAACTGAAGTTGTACGTTTTTACTTGTATCATATCCTACAGCTAAAAAACATCTAATTAGTTCACAACGAAAGCCCTGAGCACACTGGTCATGTGTCCTAATACTGGTAATACATGACTTAACCACTTTACATAAGAAGCATTAGCACCTCTATGACTCGGTCCTTCACCCAGCAACAATCGCAGCATCCCGGCATGACCCTCGCACAGGTAATGACACACTGACCCTGTCAGTTCCCTCGGAATTACATCTAGAGGGAGCTTCTTTTTTCTCCACCTTTTCACGTCTCAGAACCACGTCCTGGATCCCCACCGAAACACACACACTGCCCAGGAAAGAAGCGTTCTTCAACCCGACCCTCCTTCGGCATTAAACATTCATTCCGTCTCTGACCGTGGAAACCGTAGGTAGAAGTAGGACAAAAGTGCAAATTCAGGAAAGCCGCAGAACCAGAAAGAAGAAACTGAGCAGAGGAAAGGTGAGCGGGAGGGCGGGCCCGCCTGTCAACCCCAGCGAGCCGGGGGAGAGGGGCGCGGGCGCCGCAGCCCCGGGTCCCAGCAAAGCTAGCTCCCACCGCCGCGCCCTCCCCTCACCTCGATCTCCCGGATGTTGTTGGAGGTGACGAAAATGCCGATGCCAATGGGGATGAAGATGAGGCCGATGATGAAGAAGGTAGGAAGCACCGTGCCAGCCGTCAGGATGGGCTGCCAAGCGGGCAGCCGTTGCTGTTTGAAGGCCGTGTTATCCGGTCTCCGGGTCTTAGCGGTGCCCCCAGGGGGACACGGGGGCCCACCGTCCACTTCATCCTTCGCGTTATAGTTCATCGCCATCGACCCCCGCGGCGCGGATCCGCGACGCGCAGGTGGACAGTCCAGGGGACCCGCCTGCTGACCCTGACAGGAGACGCGCAGGCGCCTCCGCCACCGCCGCCGCCGCACAGGCGGAAGAGGCGGGACACTCTTCCGCAGACAGCCGCTGACCGGAAGCGAGGGACGGCTGAAGACACCAGAGGGAGGGAGAGAGGAAGGAGGGAGAAGAGTGAGGGACAAGGGGAGGGGAAAGGGGAGGACGATAGAAGGGGGAGGGAAAAGGCGGACGCACCCTGATCATCTGCCCTGTGACGACAAAGTGAGGGGCTCAACCCCCAGAGCGCGAGGTTACGTGGACGCATGCGCCGCCCGGGGGCGACGGGGTCTCGGCGCCTGCGCCATAGGTGCGTTTCCGCCCACTCGCCGACGCTTCTGTTTGCTCACACCTCCGGTTATCATGGCGACAACTACTGGGTTGGCGTGAGCCGCCGGCACCCCTGGAGCGGCTGACCAAGACTTCTTTCTGGTGGTTTCAGCGCGGGACAGGGTTTTCTTTTCACCTTAATGCCTTCTAGAAGGATTTTGAGCCTGGTGGAATTTGGCAGTATTTACTCCGGTTATATAAAACTTCTTTAGTTAAAATAAGTCGCCCCCCCCCCGGGGGGGTACACATGTAACTTTAATTGAGATGCGTAAAGCATTACTCTTTTTTCTTTAAGAATGAATAACGCGCGATGACCTTGTGGCCTAGCGGGTTAAGCCGCCTGAGTTGGAGTCCCTGTTGCTGTGCTTTGGATCCAGCTCCCTGCAGATGCGCCTGAGAGGCAGCAGATGATGGCCCAGTACTTGGCCTTTGCCATCCATGTGGGAGACCCAGAGAGTGAGTGTCAGGCTCCTCTCTTCAGTCTGGCACAGAACCAAGTGTTGTGGGCATTTGAGAAGTAAACCAGCAGATGGAGTCAATTGCTCACCCCCACCCCCGTCTCTGTGTTGCTCTGACTTTCAAAAAAATTTTCTTGAGACTTACTTATTTGAAAGAGACAAATAGAAGGCGAGACAGATCTTCAAAATGGCCCCAACCACCAGGGTAGGTCCAGGCTGAAGCCAGGAGCTTCATCCAGGTCTCCCACATGGATACAGGGACCCAAGCACTTGGGCCATCTTCTGCTGCTTTCATAGGCTCATGTAGCAGGGAACTGGGTTGGAAGTGGAGCATCCTGAACTCCAACCTGACCCATATGGGATGCCAACGCTGCAAACATGGTTTTAACCCACTGCACCACAGCCCTCGTCCCATCTGCCTTTCAGATTACAATTGTTTGATGGCCAGCGCCATGGCTCACTAGGCTAATCCTCCACCTGCGGCGCTGGCACACCGGGTTCTAGTCCCGGTCAGGGCACCGGATTCTGTCCCGGTTGCCCCTCTTCCAGGCCAGCTCTCTGCTGTGGCCTGGGAGTGCAGTGAAGGGTGGCCCAGGTCCTTGGGCCCTCCACCCGCATGGGAGACCAGGAGGAAGCACCTGGCTCCTGGCTTCAGATCAGCGCCATGCGCCGGTCGTAGCGGCCATTTGCGGGGTGAACAAACGGAAGGAGGACCTTTCTCTCTGTCTCTCTCACTGTCTAACTCTGCCTGTCAAAAGTCAATGTGACTTGAATAATCATGTTATCTTACCTCCGTGATTTTTATTTTGCCTCCAAATTTGGTTCCAAGTTACTTTTCCCTTTTTTTGTGTGTTCCTTTGCATGTTAATTTAGTAGTGTTTTGTAGTTAACTATGGAAGTTTTATTTTTGTTTTACTGTTGATAAAGACCAGAACATACTCCTATAGTATTACAGTAAAATGGAATACTACCATGTAGATATTTTTAAACTGCCAAGTTTTTACTGATTCAAAGAAATACTCAAAAGTGACTAAACCGGGATGCCAAGCATAGGAACCGTACAAATAGCCAAACTAAAAAGTTATTAATGACTTTCACTTTTGACTGAAAATAGTGACTTTGTCTCTATGGAGAAATTTTTTTCTCTGTTGCTTTGCATTTTTCTGTACTTTCCAAAATTCATACAATAAGCTATATTATTTGTAAAATTTTTTAAAGTTACACACAGTCCACATTATACTGACATTTGTGAAATCCAGAGATTAAGTCACATCATCTGAACCACCCAAACTTTATTTATTTATTTATTATGGCTATGTCAGCAGTTAATGCCTTTTGGAGGCTAAATCAGGGAAAGGGAAATTAAAAATTGCTTGGTCCTCATAATTTCCAATTAAATTTTCAAAATGATCACAAGTTTCAAGAATACAAGGCAGTCAAATATTTATTAATATTTAGAGGAGTAAAATGAAGCATTTCAATCAGTTTGTGAAAATGGAATTAAAGGATGTTTTACAGTAATGCCTTTTTTTTTTCTTTATTTGACAGAGTTATAGACAGTGAGAGAGAGAGACAGAGAGAAGGTCTTCCTTCCATTGGTTCACTCCCCAAATGGCCACCATGGCCGGCACTGCGCCGATCTGAAGCCAGGAACAAGTGCTTCTTTCTGGTCTCCCATGCAGGTGACCCAAGCAGCAGAGCCCTCCTGGGCCACAGCAGAGAGCTGGACTGGAAGAGGAGCAACCGAGACTAGAACCCAGCACCCACGTGGGATGCCGACACCACAGGTGGAAGATTAACCAAGTGAGCCACAGCACTGGCCCCAGAGTCTTATTTCCCTAAGTTCTGATGGTTAGTAAAAAATTTATATCATGATATTGGGTGTATAAAAGTATGAATCACCTTTCTCCATCCCCATTTCTGCCTACATCATCATATGCTTCAAATATGATAGGTTCTTAACTGATTTGCTATTACAGCATTTTGTATATATGACAATTATTTTGCCTTCAGTTTTTCTTGTGGTTTTAGTGATCTGAAAGATCATGATGTACTTACCTGCTTTCTTTTTCTTTTGTTTATAGGAAAGATTAGTTGACTTTTTAAAAAAAAATGAAATCTACATTGCTGAGTGTGCTCTTTTGGTTCTCTCTTGTTTTCAAAAGAAAAAAAGTTTATTTGAAAGGCAGAGTAACACAGAGAGGGAGAGAGAAATCTTTCATCACTGGTTTATTCCCCAGATGGCTGCAATGGCCGGGGCTGGGCCAAGCCAAAGCCAGGAGTCAGGAACTCCATCCAGGTCTCTCACAAGGGTGACAGAGCCCTTGCCCTTGGGCCATCTTCCATTGCTTTCACAGGTGCATTAGCAGGGGGCTGGATCAGAAGTAGAACAGCCAGGGCTTGAACTGAAATACATATGGGATGCTGACATTGCAGGCAGTGGCTTAACCCACTGTGCCACATCACCAGCCCCAATTAGTTAACTTAAAAAAATTATTTGAAAGGTGGGGTTACAGAGAGTAACAGAGGCAGAGAGAGAGAGATGGCTTCCATCCTCTGGTCACTCCCCAAATGGCTTCGATGACTGGGGCTGGGCCAGGCCAAAGCCAGAATCCAGGCACTTCATCCAGGTCTCCCACCTGAGTACAGGGGCCAAAGCACTTGGGTTATCTGCTGTTGCTTTCCCAGGTGCATAGCAGGGAGCTGAATCAGAAGTGGAGCAGCTGGGACTGGGATATATGGAATGCCAGTGCTGCAAGCTTTGGCTTAACCTATAATGCCACGGCAGTGGCCCCCAGTTAGTTAACTCTTAATCTTTCTTTTTAGTAATTCCATTTTGACAGAAATGCAGAATTGTAGAACTGAAAGTTAGATTGTTGTCTAAAACTTAAGAATCCAGATGCAGTCTGTAGGAACAAAAGGAAAACTACTTGCCTGTTGCCTTTTGATGGTTCACTGAAATGAGCTGAGGTCAGGCAGATTTATAAGAGAAAAAAAAGCATACAAATATATCAACATAGATGGAGGCAGTCACAAAATTTAAATACCCACAAATCCAACATGATTCAGAAACTTACATACTTTTCTGCGTAGGGGATAATGGACAAGGTAGATGATTTTAGGATGGATAGTAAATTATTTTTAGGCAAATTCAGTAGCCTTAAAGAACATATAATGACCTATGAGAGTCTGTTTGGCTTGGAGAAAAGACAGTCTGATCAGTGATTCATTTTGGAATACTGGTGGACTTAAATGGAAGACAGTGGATTGTACTTTTCCACCACTGTTTTCTGCTGCCACAATTTGTTTCTTTACCTAGCAAACATTTTTTTCACCTCATTTCAAAGGACTTAGAATTTCACAATTCTAATTTTTGCCAATATGAGTATCAGAGAAAACTGAAAATGGTTCAAATTGTTTTCAGTGACTAAGTGGGTTGCTTCTTTATTTTTCAAGGAAACAAATATGTTGATTGATTTGCATGGCAGAGTTACGGAGAGGCAGAGGCAGGAAGAGAGAGAGAGAAAGAGAGAGAGAAGAGGTCTTCCGTCCGCTGCTTTACTCCTTAGATGGCCACAACAGCCAGAGCCGTGCTGATCCAAAGCCAGAAGCCAGGGGTTTCCTCTGGGCCTCCCAGGAAGCTGGATCAGAAGTGAAGCAGCCAGGACTTGAACTGGCGCCCATATGGGATGTGGGTGCTTCAGGCCAGGGCTTTAATCTGCTGTGCCACAGCACTGGCCCCCAATTGGTATTTTTGTCCTATTCAGGTTAACTATGGCAGCTTAGAGAACTTTGATGACCCTAGATAATAATCATTTTTAATTATTTCGGAGGGCTTTTAGCAGAATAAGGTAGGCGTTGTATAATAAATTCAATTTCATGTATTTATTGCATCAAAGATTGATTCAAACTGATTTTGAAAAATTATTTTCTAGAATTAGTCTTCTCTTGATTATTATGTATTATATTGCTTGAACTCTTTCAGGTACATCTTTTAAGAAAATGCTTTTTTCGGCTGGCGCTGCGGCTCACTAGGCTAATCCTCCACCAGCGGCGCTGGCATCCCGGGTTCTAGTCCTGGTTGGGGCGCCGGATTCTGTCCCGGTTGCCCCTCTTCCAGGCCAGCTCTCTGCTGTGGCCTGGGAGTGCAGTGGAAGATGGCCCAAGTGCTTGGGCCCTGCACCCGCATGGGAGACCAGGAGAAGCATCTGGCTCCTGGCTTCAGATGGGTGCAGCGCAACAGCCGCAGCATTCAGCTGTAGCAGCCATTTGGAGGGTGAACCAACAGAAGGAGGACCTTTCCCTCTGTCTCTGTCTCTCTCACTGTCTAACTCTGCCTGTCATTAAAAAAAAAAAAAATGCTTTTTTCTCACACTGAGAGATTGATAAGGCTGAGATCATTGCTGGTGAGGAATGATTTTACAATTCTTGAATAACCAGTCAGTAATCAGAAATACAAGTCAAACAAGATAGTTTAATAGTTAGTGTCATTAGAGGAGGGAGGAATGACAACAGAATCCCTTAGTAGACAGCCAAAGAACTTTGTTTTTCAGGCCAGCGCTGTGGCGCAGTGGGTTAAAGCCCCAGCCTGCAGCAGCAGCATCCCATATGGGCGCCGGTTCAAGTCCTGGCTGCTCCACTTCCGATCCAGCTCTCTGCTATGGCCTGGGATAACAGTAGAAGATGGCCCAAGTCCTTGGGCCCCTGCACCCACATGGGAGACCTAGAAGAAGCTCCTGGTTCCTGGCTTCAGATCAGCTCAGCTCTGGCCATTGCGGTCATTTGGGGAGAGAACCAGCAGAATGGAATACCTCTCTTTCTCTGGCTCTACCTCTTTCTGTAATTCTGTCTTTCAAATAAGTAAAATAATTCTTTTTTTTTTAACTTTTATATAATGAATATAAATTTCCAAAGTACGATTTATGGATTACAGTGGCTTCCCCCCCATACCGTCCCTCCCACCCACAACCCTCCCCTCTCCCACTCCCTCTCCTCTTCCATTCACATCAAGATTCATTTTCGATTATCTTAATATACAGAAGATCAGCTTAGTATACATTAAGTAAGGATTTCAACAGTTTGCTCCCACACAGAAACATAAAGTGAAAAATAATAGATGATTTTTTTTAAATGATGATGAAATCAGATCAGACCTATTGTCATGTTTAATCCCAGTGAGAGTCAAGTTGGGAGTTGATAAATTTCTTTTTTTTTTTTTTTTTACAGAGGATCAGTTTAGTATGCATTAAGTAAAGATTTCAACAGTTTGCACCCCCATAGAAACACAAAGTGAAATATATTGTTTGAGTACTCGTTATAGCATTAAATCTCAATGCACAGCACATTAAGGACAGAGATCCTACATGAGGAGTAAGTGCACAGTGACTCCTGTTGTTGACTTTACCAATTGACACTCCTGTCTATGGCGTCAGTAATCTCCCTATGCTCCAGTCATGAGTTTCCAAGGCTATGGAAGCCCTCTGAGTTCTCCGACTCTTATCTTGTTTAGACAAGGTCATAGTCAAAGTGGAGGTTCTCTCCTCCCTTCAGAGAAAGGTACCTCCTTCTTTGAAGACCTGTTCTTTCCACTGGGATCTCACTCACAGAGATCTTTTGCCAGAGTGTCTTGGCTTTCCATGCCTGAAATAACTCTCATGGGCTTTTCAGCCAGATCCGAATGCCTTTAGGGCTGATTTCTGAGGCCAGAGTGCTATTTAGGACATCTGCCATTCTATGAGTCTGCTGAGTATCTCACTTCCCATGTTGGATCACTCTCCCCTTTATTTATTCTATCGGTTAGTGTTAGCAGGTACTAGACTTGTTTATGTGCTCCCTTTGACTCTTAGTCCTTTCATTATGATCAATTGTGAACTGAAATTGATCACTTGGACTAGTGAGATGGCATTGGTACATGCCACCTTGATGGGATTGAATTGGAATCCCCTGGTATGTTTCTAACTCTACCATTTGGGGCAAGTCAGCTTGAGCATGTCCCAAATTATACATCTCTTCCCTCTCTTATTCCCACTCTTATGTTTAACAGGGATCACATTTCAGTTAATTTTCAACACTTAAGAATAACTGTGTATTAATTACAGAATTAAACCAGTCATATTAAGTAGAACAGACAAAAAAACTACTAAGAGGGATAATGTATTAAGTTGTTCATTAACAGTCAGGGCTATGCTGATCAAGTCACCGTTTCCCATAGTGTCCATTTCACTTCAACAGGTTTCCTTTTTGGTGTTCAGTCAGTTGTCACCGATCAGGGAGAACATGTGGTATTTGTCCCTTTGGGACTGGCTTATTTCACTCAGCATGATGTGTTCCAGATTCCTCCATTTTTTTTGCAAATGACTGGGATTTCAAAATGAAAGAACAACACAAGAACTTTGCTTTAGGAGGGAAATAAGATTTAATTTCACCCTTCCTTTAAAGGAAAGATATCTAAAAAGGCCTCAGACTTTATGACTTTAATTGCATAGAATCTCTTAGTTGATTACTTGCCTATGGCATTTGTCTTTTATTTATTTTTAATTTTTTTAAAGATTTGTTTTATTTATTTGAAAGACAGAGTTACAGAGAGAGGTAGAGACAGAGAGAGAGGTCCTCCATCTGCTGGTTCACTCCCCAGATGGCCGTAACGGCTGGAGCTGCACCGATCTGAAGCCAGGAGCCAGGATCCTCCTCTGGGTCTCCCACGTGGGTGCAGGGGCCCAAGGACTTGTGCCATCCTCCACTGCTTTCCTAAGCCATAGCAGAGAGCTGGATCAGAAAAGCAGCAGCCGGGATCAGAACTGGTGCCCATATAGGATGCCTGCACTTAACCCACTGTGCCACAGTGCCGGCCCTGACATTTGTCTTTTAAATATGTGCAATCAATCATAGATAAGGTCTTTCCTTTAAATATGCTGTTGCCAGCACTAGGTTGACAGCCAGATGACATCTGTTACATGTATAACAGTGAAATTATTTAAAAAAAGGGGATACAGCAGGGAAAGGGCTTAATTTATTCCATGAGAATCATCAGGAGATACAGGAAAGTCGATCTTAAAAATGTGAATTTATTTTTGACAGGCAGAGTGGACAGTGAGAGAGAGACAGAGAGAAAGGTCCTCCTTTGCCGTTGGTTCACCCCCCAAATGGCTGCTATGGCCGGCACGCTGCGCTGATCCGAAGCCAGGAGCTCGGTGCTTCCTCCCTGTCTCCCATGCGGGTGCAGGGCCCAAGCACTTGGGCCATCCTCCACTGCCTTCCCGGGCCACAGCAGAGAGCTGGACTGAAAGAGGAGCAACCGGGACAGAACCGGCGCCCCGACCAGGACTAGAACCCGGTGTGCCGGCACCGCAATGCGGAGGATTAGCCAAGCGAGCCACGGCATTGGCCTAAACAGATATTTTTCAATATTATACAGAAATACAAGGATAGTGGTATGTGTAAGTTGCCGTGGGCTCAGAAAGCAACTCTTAAAGCTGATCCAGGAGTCAAAGAAATATTCTTTATATTGACTACAGACCTGAATCTTGAAGGATGAATGGAAATTTTATCAAAGCAATTTTGGTGGAAGTGGAGTCTGAAGTCAGGTAGCAGTGGGTTGCTGAGTTAGAGGTTAAGGAAGTGAAGAAAGCAAGTGGGCAGGATACTCCACCTAGAAGACTCAGTGCCAATAAAACTGATGCCATGAATCAGGTTGTTGGACCCCTGCTTTGTGCTTCACAATGTGCTAGTCAGAGGGAAGCCCATGGCATTAAAAATATTTAATGCCACCCACTAAAAAGCCTGTTTAATTTCTGGGGCTCAAAAAAGTCAACTTCCCCATTAAGTCTATGTTGTAAAGGTCATTCTTCAAGAATATGTTGAAATTATTTTAAAGACTTCCGATCCAGCTCTCTGCTGTGGCCTGGGAAAGCAGTAGAAGATGGGCCAGGTCCTTGTGCCCCTGCATCCACGTGGGAGACCTGGAAGAAGCTTCTGGCTCCTGGCTTCAGATCGGCGCAGCTCCAGCCGTTGTGGCCATCTGGGGAGTGAACCAGTGGATGGACGACCTCTCTCTCTGTCTCTACCTCTCTCTGTAACTCTGTCTTTCAAATAAATACAATAAACTTAAAAAAATGATTTTTTTTTTAAAAAAAGAGGGGCCAGCATTGTGGCCCAGCAGGTTAAGCCACTATCTGCAATGCTGGCATCCCATATGGGTGCTGATTCATGTCCTGGTTGCTCCTTTTCTGATCCAGCTCCCTGCTAATGCACCTGGGAAAGCAGCAGCAGATGCCCCAAGTCTTTGACCCTCTGTACCCATGTGGGAGACCGAGATGGAGTTTCTAGCTCCTAGCTTTAGCCTGGCCCAGCCCTGGCCATTGCGACCATTTGGGGAGTGAACCTGTGGATGGAAGTTCTGTTTCTCCTTCTATCTGAAATTATGCTTTTCAACTAAATTCAACTTTCTGCTCACTAGACTAATCCTCCGCCTGCAGCAGCAGCACCCTGGGTTCTAGTCCCGGTTGGGGCGCCGGATTCTGCTGTAATAAAATTTCCATTCATCCTTCAAGATTCAGGTCTGTAGTCAATATAAAGAATATTTCTTTGACTCCTGGATCAGCTTTAAGAGTTGCTTTCTGAGCCCACGGCAACTTACACATACCACTATCCTTGTATTTCTGTATAATATTGAAAAATATCTGTTTAGGCCAACGCTGCGGCTCACTTGGCTAATCCTCCGCATTGTGGCGCCGGCACACCGGGTTCTAGTCCCGGTCGGGGCGCCGGTTCTGTCCCGGTTGCTCCTCTTCCAGTCCAGCTCTGTGCTGTGGCCTGGAAAGGCAGTGGAAGATGGCCCAAGTGCTTGGGCCCTGCACCCGCATGGGAGACAGGGAGGAGGCACCTGGCTCCTGGCTTCGGATCAGCGCAGCGTGCCGGCCATAGCAGCCATTTGGGGGGTGAACCAACTGAAGGAGGACCTTTCTCTCTGTCTCTCTCTCGCACTGTCTAACTCTGCCTGTCAAAAAAAAAAAGAAAGAAAAGAAAAGAAAAGAAAAATATCTGTTTACATCTGCCTTTGTTACTAGATAAAAGTTAATCAAGATCAGATACTATTTTTACTCATTTCTGCAGTAGAAAAGATACTAGATAAATCTTGTTGAACTGACCTGACCTACTCAGTAAACTCACATTTTAGTGGGAGAAACTTAGCAGGAAACGCTTAAAATTCAACAAGATCAATCCCATATAAGTTGTGTACAAGAGGTTTTAGGAGCTTTAAAGAAGCACCACATTTCATCCCCTCTGTGATGACAAAAGTTAAACCAGAGAAATGAGTCTCAATTCAAGAATGATATTGTATTTCTCCACCACCGAGAGAACAGAATAAAAAATAAGGGAACATAGACAAAGTTGAGCCTTACATTATATTTATTATAAATGACCTGCAAGATTGTGTACTCTGGAGGGCTGGCGTGATGGTGCAGTGGGTTAAAGCCCCAGCCTGCAGTGCCAGCATCACGTATCCGTGCCAGTTCGAGTCCCAGCTGCTCCTCTTCTGATCCAGCTCTCTGCTGTGGCCTGGGAAAGCAATAGAAGATGGCCCAACTCCTTGGGCACCTGCACCTGTGTGGGAGGCCCGGAGGAGGCTCCTGGCTCCTGGCTCCTGGCTTCAGATCAGTTCAGCTCTAGCCATTGTGGTCATTTGAGGAGTGAACCAGTGGAATGGAAGACCTCTTTCTCTCTGGCTCTACCTGTCTCTGTAACTCTTTCAAATAAATAATTCTTAAAAAATAATAAAGCAAGTAAAGCAGTACTGATAATGCATTCTGGACAACTGAAAAAAAATCATGTACTCTGAGTGATCATGTTCTTTCTCTTAAGCAAGATCTCGGTAGGCTTTGGTTGCCACGGAAACATATATCTCTGATGCTCTCAATTTCTGAGACATACTGAATTTGTTCACTTACGTACTCCATTTGTTCCACTGCCTGCTTGCGTGAGTGCTCCATATAGGAACCATTCTTTGTGAAGTGAAAAATCAGTGGGCACACTTTTCTTAAAGTAGCCTAGACCAATTGGTGACTTGTTGAGGAACTTTGTGTTATCAGAAAGCATGTCTTCCTTTAGAATCAGTGATGATTGAGGGTTTCTTCCTGTTTAATCCATGTGATATGCACTTGAAAATGCCCGTGGGTATAGATGTTTTTGCAAGGGAAACATCAGCTCTTAGAAGAGTATGGTGAGGAAAAGGCACAGATACCCTAACCTACTACTGAAGGAGTTCTTTGGGGTTAAAAGCCAATAAATAGATGCCTGTGAAACACCCTGCCATTTTCACCAAACATGCCATGCTGTCAAGGCAGAGACAGTGAAAGCCAGGAAGGCCAAAACAGAGATTGGAGAAAAGGAAACTAGGTAGCTGAAAGATGAGTAGGAAAGACCTCTTTCTAGCTGGAGTTAACTGTGTTTTTATAAATATTTATCCAGTATCTTGCATTCACTGTGAGGAATATGCAAGTTCTATTTTTAAAAGTCTTACAAATGGGAGACAGCTTTGTACACTAACATCAGTCAATATGGCTCCTAAAGAGAGAAAGAGTTTTTCTCCTTAAAGATGCTTATTTCTGAAAGAAATATTGGGCATAATGCCAGAGGTAACTAAAAGATGTCTGATTTTCTTTTTAAAAAATTATCCACAAACATCAACTAGATTCAGCCAGTGCTTTTAAATTATGTACACCAATGGGCTCTCTTTAAGGTGAGAGGCTACAGAGGCTGCCTATGGTCAAAACTCCCTAACATCTGTACTTTACCTGCAGAAAGTATCTTGGTTTAGATATCATCTTTACCCACTTTTTTCTTTTTTTGATAAGTGTACCTCTATATAATAAGCAAGAGAAACCCATTTCTTTGTCACAAATAAGGAAAAGATAAATTAGGATGGGAAATAAGACCATGGATCACTCTTTCTTGTCTATAAATAAAAGGAATTGGAGCAGAACCATATCTCTACCATATCCCATTTTGCTGAAAGCATCCAACTGCCTCTATAGAAGCTGAGCTGTGGACTACTGGCAAAGCTTCAGGGTATTGACTCTATATGATCCTCCTTCAGATTGACAGCAGAGAGCAGTGGTGGACTATTCTGGATGTTGTCTGACTGCATTTGGTGAAGATAAAGGAGGGAGGGAAACCCCTTAGACAGTTTCTATCTCTTGGTGTCTTAAAATTTTTTCCTTTGTAAAGAATCCAATTTGGTGTAATTGAGGGAAAACACCCATATTTTGGCAGTCCCATTTTACTACATCTGCTTATCCATAGCAAAAGAAACTATATTTTTAAGAAAACAACTCAGAAGTGAAACTATTTAAAAGCAAAGAACTTTAAAATAAAAAGAAGGTTGCATGCACATTTTAAGTGGTTTAATTTTGTGACTATTATGTTCCAACTCAAAAAATATATTGCACAAAGCTTTGATATTACAGTTATTTTTCTCACATTCTGGTGAGATTCTGATAAACATAGTTGACTTAGGAAGTAATACAAATAATATCTTAACTGGTTAAATAATTTCAATAAACTGTGAAGAACTGAAAGCAGGATATTACATTCATATAGAAGACAAGTACATATCCATAAATTCACTTGGCTTCAGTGAAAAATAACTTCTCACATACTTAATAAAAATTAGAGAAAAAATTAAAAATTGTTTGAAAATAGAATGTATTTCCAGAACTATTCAACACACTCTTTTGCTCTCAAAAAAACCTGCAAAATTTCAGAGAATGTCTGATCATACAGTAAGCCTCTTATATTGGATATTTTTAAAACAAAATATATATTAAATAAATACAGATCTCCACTGTTAAAATAACAAATCTGTGGATGGCAAGGTAAAATTCCCCAAATAACATTAATGAAAAACACCACCAGGAAATAAATGTACCATGTCATGGCATCTATAAACATTTCTGTTCAAATTTGTGAATCTACAGCATTTTCCCTAGATAACAAACAACTGTCATCACATAATTATGGAATAAATGATAAACACTTAAAAAATAACTGCCAAAATTAATTCAACAAAACTTTCCCAATTTTTATAAATTTAAGACAGAGATTTTTACTTTTTCCTTGCTAGTGCTTTTAGCCCTATGCCTGAAGTGCATTTTATCTTCTGTTGTACATGTTACTGTTTTCGGATTTGTTGTTTACCAAAATCATGTACATCCTACTTTTATTATGTTTTTTATTCATTTCCAAGAAAATTCAGCCATAGGATTGGAGAAAGGTGGAAAACATTACATTTCCAACACCATTTACTAATTTAATTTCCCACTGATTATTTAGAAGCTGTGAATTTTTTCGGTAATGTTGATGTTTATGCTAATACATAAATGTATCACATCATGAATTTTATTTTCTGATTGTCCTAATATACAGTTAATTCTTCTCATTTTGTGAACATTCCAGGCATTTGACATGTGGTTCATAGACTTTATCCACTATCTTCATCAAACTCCAACACTTTATGAAATACTTGAAAAAAATCTTTGTAGAAGATACTCTTAAGAAACACTCCCATATGAAAAATAAAAGGTTAAAATAGTTAATTCAGTGTTGTGCCTTGAATGGGAAACACTGATTATATTTCAGAAAGCATTTATAATTATTCCATTCAGAAATGACTCTAGTTCAAATTAGTGATTGGAGATTTATTTACAAAAGGGAGAGAGAAATTATGTGAGCATAGGATAGTACCAGGGTTGCATGTTAAGGCAATTTTTTCAATTAGATGTGGATATCTAGATGTGACTATAAACTTATTTGCTTATGCATGATATGTCCATTCATGTTCTTGTGATTATCAGTTAATTTTGCATATTGTCTCTCATTCCAGAATTAATCTGATAAATTTTACCCTCTCAGATTCCATTCAGTTTACACAGAGGCCTTAGCTGTAGCATGGCAGAAGAAAGCTCAGTGCCTATCTAAATGACTGCACCATCATCCTAGCTGTTCTTGCAGCACCAAATTTCATTATAAATTTAGGAGAATAAAAAACTTCAGATCCAAAGATGCATACGTTACTTGTAATGTTTTAAGTTAAAATCAAGAAACTTTATATCTTATCTTCTAGCATTTTCACAATTAGTACAATAAAATTCTCACAGCTTGAGAAAAAGCAGTTTGCTTCAAAACTGCTCATCTGTGATACATCCAAATATTTTTGCCTCAGAGGCAAATAGGGAGCTCAAATGTGAGTCAGGAAAAATAGAACAATACTAAATAAAATCTTTTTCTAATTGAAAATGTCATTACAGTTCAACATTTCCAGGAAACAAAACTCAGTAACAACAACAGAAAAATCCTCACACATACACACACTAGTTTTCTTAGTAATCAAAACCAGGGAAGGTTATATGATGCTTTTTCAGTCACTAAAACTAGGGTAAGCCTACCCTTCTTTTAATTAAAAAAATCAAAAATAGTTTTTAACAAAGAATAGTTATTTTATTTATAATACTTGTTGAATATGACTTGCCAATTCCATGAGGTATATCTTAAAATCTTCCAAGGTTATGTAGGGGAAGAAACCCAGCATTAGTTCCTCTACTCCAGAGACTCAGCATGGACCCCCTTTGGATTTATTAGCCCGGCATAATCTGTACCTGGAAGAATGGGTCAATGGTATTATTCGTGTGGCTTTTAGTTATCCATGTGCATTCATAAGCATTCTCACCATAATCTTGGTATTTACCTGATAGATGATTTTCTGCCTTCAGAACTCGAATTGTCACATCTTGATTTATCTTTAAAATTATCTTTTAAGACCTGATTGAAAATGTCCATATTTTTAAAAACTAATTTTTAAAATAAATTATTAGGGTTTCAAGTAGATTTTACATGTACATTCTCATATAAACCTAAATTCAACAGCAGCTCTGACATGGAAACTTAAGTGACACATGTGCTTTTTGTCTTTAAAGATTATATTCTCTAACCTACATGTGATTATGAAAATCCATAAAACACAAGGAGAAAAAAGTTGTCTATCTCAGGATTTCTTACTATTTAAAAGATGCTAACTTATCTAGATCAGTTTTTATTTTCAAGCTTTCATTGGGGATAGATTATGAGAAATATCCTGGTATCACAGTCCTTATTGTAAGTCTTATAAGTAATATAAACAAATATAATTGATCTTTCATCAGAACTGTTCTGTACCCTTATTGGTTAAACTGGTACATATCCTTGTATGAATGTATTCCATATGAAAGTCAATTCATCCAAGGTTCTTGGCACAGAACACCAAACAGAGCAACTTCAAAAACTAGCTTTTAAAATTACACTCTTAAGGCAGAGCATTATTTGTCAGTACTGAACCAGGATCAAAATCATAGTATTATACAAATGAAAAGAAAACCTCTACCAGAATCTCCTGCTTCTAAGTTTTACTATGTTGTACTTTTTCTTGAAAAATAACAAATTGATGAAAAGAATTATGGGTTACCATTTTGAACACAACAATACCAATACTTTGAAGAACTGACAGTGTATTCCACAGATATATGTGCCATAGACTATGAAAAAGGAAACAGTTCTGGGAAAAAGTCACATTACAAAATGTATTATAAAAATAAATTACATAGCATGTGCCCATGAACCTGAAAGCTTTGCAAAAGAGAAATTTCTTTTGGCACAAAGATTCAATTGCTCTTGCTACATATTTTCATGTTATCAGCAAGGCCATTTCCAACTGTTACATTATACCCTCAAAAAAAAAAATCACTGGAAGTAGTCAAATGTTTCCAGTCGTGATCAGTAGCATGGAGGACTTTAGTGATGATGAAGGACTGTAGAAATATTATCCATTCAACAGGGATTCAGAGGAAGTACACACACCCAATATGTGTTTGGTTTACCATTTCATCTGGAGTTCATACGTAACTGGTGAATGATGATGCTTTCTATAAAGAGAAGAAAGACATGGTATTTTCAATTAAACTGAAACTCAGATCAATAGTTTATGTGAGGATCTTTACCACATCATTTCACCTCAAGACTACATGTTAAATACACAAAAGCAGGTTCATGATCCTGGTAGTAGCTACTAGAATACTTTACTATTCTTAAGCAACTTCATGTTGCTTACATGCTATATCTCAAATTCTGAAAGGCCTTGAGAAGCCATGTCTAGTATTCTAACAATATTAGGTCAATTTGACCATTCCTTGAAAACAAAAGTAGTGATTATTTTATATATGAACAGTAACAATGAGAAACTAGAAACCAGAATGCTTCCTATTCTGGCCAAATTCTTTCTGGTTTGAACTCCCTGAATTTCTTTTTTTTTTTTTAAGTGCATAGATGGGAGTTTTAATAAGGAGATATTCATTACATATTCCTAAGAACTGAATAAATACAGATGACTCACTTTTGTCTCTGATTGCTTCTTTTTGCAGAACTCTATATGCTTTCACATCTAAATTCATTCCAATAAAAGCACATGGCTGGACCGTTCTGATTACTATCTCAAGCACAAAATAGATTGAGATAGTAATCAAAAGAGTCCAGCCATGTTATTGATATTTGATATATGAAATTATTTTATTGGTGTTACTTTTATATTAAGCCTTTATAAACACATGTCATCCTCATGTTTTTTCATTCAGTCATTCAAGAATTATTTACTAAGGCCATCCATGCTTGGATGGAACAACACTGGTGAGCAGAATGAGACAGTCTTTCCATCACTGAGGTCATACAGAGCAGAGGACAGAAAATAATATGCTTCAAATAGTTTCTCCACATGAAAATTTTATTGCCTCCTGTCAACATATGACAATATTTTGAGAGCAGAAACATATATTAAGGTTTTTTATCAATAGCCTGAGGAAATTTCCAAGCATTCCTTTCACTTTAATTTTCAATGCCTGCTATCTGCATTTTAATTCTATGTGTGTAATAAATATTTAAATTAACATTAATCAGATCACATTATGCCATAGATCTACAGATTCACACTAATTATTCATAGGGAATGATCGTTTGTGGGAAAAGAAAAAGCTTTCTTATTTCTTGAACTTTGCCAGATGATGGCCACTAGGTAGAGCTGTTTCTACTCCTTCCCTCAGCTTTTCGGCTTGAATTTGAGATAAAATGGATATGAAAGCAAAATAAAAGAGAATACATTAATGTCTAATATACTTTAGAATATTTACTTCTGAGGCTTTTATAAAGTTTTTAAGACCTACGTACTTATTTTTCATTATACCAGAAACCCTTAGAAATTGATTTTTTTCATTGAAAAATTATTCTAGTTTCAAAGTATCTAAATGCCTAAAAATGTATAAAGATCTACTGGCAAAAAATTAAAAGCACTAATTAAAATGTTATGTAGTTAAAAATCAGGGTCTGAGATTAAAATGTTATTTCCCATTAAATACTTTTTCTTTTCTAAAATTCTGAGCTGGGCCAGCACTGTGACACAGCAGGTTAAGCAGCACCTGTGACACCACTATCTCATATAGGCACTGGTTCGAGTCCTGTCTGCTCCATTTTTAGACCAGTTCTCTGCTAATGCACCTAGGAAAGCAGCAGAAGATTGCCCAAGTACTTGAACCCCTGCCATCCATGTGGGAGGCCTGGATGAAGCTCCTGGCTCCTGCCTTCAGCCTGGCCAGTCCTGGCCATTGCTGCCTTTTGGGGAGTAAACCAGCAAATAGAATTCTCTCTCTCTCTTTGTCTCTTCCTGTCTCTGTAACTCTACCTTTTAAATAAAAGTAAATAAAATCTTTAAAAACCTAAAATTCTGATCTAGGTGTTTTGTTTTTTTTTTTTTTTTTTTTTTTTTTTTTTTTTTTTGACAGGCAGAGTGGACAGTGAGAGAGAGACAGAGACAGAGAGAAAGGTCTTCCTTTTGCCGTTGGTTGACCCTCCAATGGCCGCCGCGGCCGGCGCACCGCGCTGATCCGATGGCAGGAGCCAGGAGCCAGGTGCTTTTCCTGGTCTCCCATGGGGTGCAGGGCCCAAGCACCTGGGCCATCCTCCACTGCACTCCCTGGCCATAGCAGAGAGCTGGCCTGGAAGAGGGGCAACCGGGACAGAATCCGGCGCCCCGACCGGGACTAGAACCCGGTGTGCCGGCGCCGCAAGGTGGAGGATTAGCCTATTGAGCCACGGCGCCGGCCCTGAACTAGGTTTTAAAGACTGATGTGGGCCGGCGCCGCGGCTCACTAGGCTAATCCTCCGCCTTGCGGGTTCTAGTCCCGGTCGGGGTGCCGGATTCTGTCCCGGTTGCCCCTCTTCCAGGCCAGCTCTCTGCTATTGTCCGGGAGTGCAGTGGAGGATGGCCCAAGTGCTTGGGCCCTGCACCCCATGGGGGACCAGGATAAGTACCTGGCTCCTGCCATCGGATCAGTGCGGTGCGCCGGCCGCAGCAGCAATTGGAGGGTGAACCAATGGCAAAGGAAGACCTTTCTCTCTGTCTCTCTCTCTCTCTCTCTCACTGTCCACTCTGCCTGTCAAAACAAAACAAAACAAAACAACTGATGTGACCTGTGTCTCAAATCTTCCTAAAATAATTAAATTATATAAGTACTTCATTTCCTTCTCTTAAGAAAGAATAGAAAGCATCAACCTAAAGGAGTAAAATTCAGAATTGTTCTTATGGTCAATGTAATTTTTTTTTTTTTTTTTTTTTTTTTTTTTTTTGAGAGCGAAAGAGAGCATGAGATCTTCCATTCACCGGTTCACTTCCTAAATGGCTGCAATGGCGAGAGCTGGGCTGATTTGAAGCCAGAAACCAGGAGCTTCCTCCAGGTCTCCAACATGGGTGCAGGCGCCATCCTCTGCCGCCTTCTACCAGCAGGGAGCTGGATCAGAGGCAGAGCAGCCAGGGCACAAACTAGGGCCCACACAGGGTGCCAGAGCAGAGGCAGCAGTTTCACCCGCTGCAGTGGTCTTGACGTCAGCCCTGGTCAATGCTTGTGTCTTTGTTTCCTCAGTACAATATGAGAGCGTCAGAAACCATCTCCAACATCCTTTGCAGGTGTGACATTTCTTGTTACTACAGCACCTTCTTTTTTTTCCCGTTGAATGCTTAAACCTCTTAATTCCTGGAATTGCTTGCTCTTAATCCTAGCATTTTTCAGTCTCTATGATGATAGCATTACATTTTCTTTATTTGAAAAGCTGAGAGAAACACAACAGACACAGATCTCTCATCTGCTGGTTCACTTCCCAAATGCCTGCAACAGCCAGGGCTGGGTCAGGCCGAAGCCAGGAGCCTAGAACTTTATCTGAATCTCCCCATGTGAGTAACAGGAGCTCAAGTACTAGAGCCATCATCTACTGTCTCTCATAGTGTACATTAGCAGGAAGTTGGGACTGGAAGTGGAGCTGACCCAAACGTAGCCTCTCAGTGGAATATGAACACCCTAATTGGTATCTTAACCATAGCACCAAATGCCCACCCCTGGTAATAGTTTTTTACAATTAGTATTTGGTAAAAATTTGAGTATTTGTACATAGAAGAAACAATATCTTGGCTGAAATATTATTTTGTTTTGTTGTTGTTGAACACTGCTTAAGTATAATATAATGGCTTGTGTAACAGAAGAGAGATTTCTGGAGCAGTTTAGACTTCCTTGCTATAGGAAGCTCAAATTGTGTCAGATGGTTTTGACAGTCTGCCACAGAGTGTTGCTTGCAATGGAATATTACTTTCAATTACTAATGTTTCAATTAGCAAACTAGCAATCCATAAATGGTATATATGTGTGTACATATATACATACTTTATTAACTAGACTGTCTCACAAATATTTGATAATGCCAAATAAATTTATTCTAAATAAATTCTATCAATAAAAGATGGTATTTTAATATTTATATAGATGAACTTCATTTAAAAGAATACAAGTAAGCCCATTTTATACATATGGAGACATATAATTTCTACAGACAAAATCTACACGGTAGTGTTTTCATTGAAACTTATTAAACAGATTTATTAAATTTTAGTTGCATATAGTCTAAGTTTTTCACTAATCTCAGCTGAGAATACTCAAATAAGAATCATCCAGCCAATACACAAAATTGTGAGAAATATGTGTTGTTTTATACCATTACATTTTGAAATAACTCATTAACAGCAAAACTATCTGATACATATGTAATTCATAAACGCCAGGAACAAAAATTAATACTTAAGAGATAACACTATTATATTCATGCATAGAAATGGAGGAGGGCAGAACTCCCAAGTCTCTTCCTGTCTCTTTACAATTTAGTACAATAAAATAATGTTTACATTTCATTGAAGTTACAAAGGCAGTGAGCAAATTTCATTCCATCTCCTACTCTGTCTCCATTTCATCCCAGAATGAGACTAAGCATAGCTGATTTGGAGCCTTTACAATGACCATGATAAAATCAGATACAGCTAGTAACTTTTCTCTTTCTAGTAATTTATACAGCTTTTAATAGGCAGATTGGGAACAAAGATCATAGTTCATTGTATCTATTAGCAAAAAAAGCACTTAAATTTAGGGCCCTTTGATATGCAGACATTTATTAAGATAATTGGAAGGGAAAAAAAACCCTAAATTTTCATCAGCATATACACATGAGGGACACTAGATTTTTATATACTTTTGACATTAACAATTTACAGAAATGTAGGACAGGTGTTTGACAGAACAGTTAGCATGCCAGTTCGGACAGACATCCCTTCCACAGTGCCCATGTTGATACACTGGTGCCACTCCCTATTTTAGCTCCTGCTAATGGGCACCCTGGGAGGCAGTAGATGATGACTCAAGTAGTTGGGTTCCTATCATTCACATGGGAGACCCAGACTGAGTTACCAATTCCTGTCTTTAGCCTGCCTCAGCCCTGGTTGTTGTGGGTATTTAAGCAATGAGCCAGCAGAGGATCCCCTCCTTTCTCTCTCTTTTTCTCTCTCTCTCTCCTCTCTCTCTCTCTTTCTCTCTTTCTCCCTCCCTCCTTCCTTCCCTCTCAAATAAATACATTTAAGAAAAATTTTCCTGGGCCTGGCACTGTGTCACAGCAGGTTAAGCCACAGCTTGCAGGGCCAGCATCCCATATGGACACCAGTCTGCTCTAATTCCAATTCAGTTCCCTGCTAATGGCCTGGGAAAGCAGCAGAGGATGGCCCAAATGCTTGCACCCACATGGGAGACCCATAAGAAGTTCCTGTCTCCTGGCATTGGCTTGGCCCAGCCCTAGTCATTGCAGTCATTTGGAGATTGAACCAGCTGATGGAAGATTTCTCTCTGTCTCTGTCTCTCTGTCTGTCTCTCTCTCTCTGTAACTCTACCTTTCAAATAAATAAATCTTTAAAAAATAAATAATTTTTAAAATTTTCAAAATGCATTTACAGACTTTTTCCCCTTATGTATTTCTTTAATATTATGTTGATGGTTTCTCCTTATAAAACTTCAGATAACACATTAAAATACCTAATTTGTTATGATATTATCATGAAATGATGATGCTTAATAATTCATTCTTTTATTATGTCAGCTTTTAGATAACATCCATGAAGCAGAAGTTCAATATGTTATCAAATTCCTAATTATACTTGACTTCCTACCACAGTAAGCCTTGATCTTTGCTGGCTAGTATCCCAAAACCCCTGGCCAGACAGTAGATTTAGCTCCAAAGCTGCATGTAAGAAACAGAATTTGGAGAGAAATTTGGGGAGACTATCTCTTGAGTGCTTGAGGCGAATCAGAATTGTTTCTCCCCAGGAGAGCTCCTTGTCTGTGAAGTGGAAGAGAGGTACTTCAGAAAGTCAGACCCTCCCGGGCACTGCACGTTTTTACACTCTGCTCAACTCTCTGCAAAGGGACACTGGAGCTCTGAATTTTAAAAGTCTGCTTTACTAAATGAGACCAAGTCACTTTAAGACAAAAAACAGCGGAAGTTCAACTTACAGCAGGACTTCTCCTCAGTGCAGGAGGGCTGCTTCATCCAAGTCACAGAAAACATTTCCTCCTGGATTTTGCCTCACTCTGTTCTGTGGCTCCCTTCCTAACAGGGGCTATGTCTAGAAGGCATGATTGCAGCTCAAGGATATGATGCTCTTCCTCTCCACCAGCCACCAAACCTCAGCTTAGAACCTACTGCCTTCAGGGTAATCATCCACCTGCCAAAAAAAGGTCCCACATTCTCTATGCCTTTTGGAAGTAGGAGTATCTCAACACTACTTATTTTCAAGTGTCTCATTTTCATAAACTGCTTTAGGTTCACTTGTGTGATTATCACATTCAGAAATTAATCAGCGTTCTGACAAAACATCTGTTTTAAATAGGAAGTTCAATAAACTTCCCCTGTTGACTTGGACTTGGATTTCTTCTTTTGGATTCAGCTCAGCTAATTAAAAATACTTCCGCTAATCAGTTCTGTCATTTGCCCTAGAAAACTTTTGAACCAGAGGATATAAATTCTCTTGGGCTTTCTCAATGACCTAATAGTTTATTTGCTTCCTTCCAAAACATTTCCCACTCTTCCATGAGCCCAGATCATCTCTTAACTCCCCCAGTTTGCAGGAGTTAACAATAATCACAGAAATGACTGATACCTTCTTTTTCTGGGAGGCCAGTCCTTATCTCCAGCATGATGTTTCCCAGATAAAAGCAAATTTGAAATAGTTTCCCCATGTGTAACACTCACTATAAATGAAAACTTAATATTGGGAAACTAGGTAAATATTTGAGCCAAGCTCACACAGTTTCTACTCTTTTAGATGCAGAAATTAAATGCCTAAATTGTGTGAAGTCTATGGGTGGTCATAAAATAGCATGAAAGGGGCCAGCGCTGTGGCGTAGCGGGTAAAGCGGCCGCCTGCAGGGCCAGCATCCCATATGGGCACCGGTTCGAGGCATGGCTGCTCCACTTCTGATCCAGCTCTCTGCTATGGCCTGGGAAAGTAGTGGAGAATGGCCCAAGTCCTTGGGCCCCTGCACCCATGTGTGAGACCCGGAAGAAGCTCCTGGCTCCTGGCTCCTGGCTCCTGGGCTCATATTGGCGCACCACCAGCTGTTGCAGCCATTTGGGGAGTGAACTAGCAGGTGGAAGACCTCTCTTTCTCTCTCTTTTCTGCCTCTCCTTTTCTCTCTGTGTAACTCTTTAAAATAAATAAATCTCTGTCTCTTTTCTGCCTTTCCTTCTCTCTCTGTGTAATTCTGACTTTCAAATAAATAAATAAATAAATCTTTAAAAAAAACAGCATGGAAAATAACATTGTGTGTGAAAATTGTCATCAAACACTACTATAAGAACTTTTACATATATAGTTTCTTCTTTTTAAAGTATCTCCTGTCTGTATTTTTTAAAGATTTATTTATTTATCCGAAAGGCAGAGTTACAGAGATGTAGAGGCAGAGAGAGACAGGTCTTCCAACCGCTGGTTCACTCTCCAGATGGCCACAATGGCCAGAGCTAGGCCCATCTGAAGCCAGGAGCCAGGAGTTTCTTCTGGGTCTCCTACATGGGCGCAGGGGTCCAACAACTTGGGCCATCTTCTACTGCTTTCCCAGGCCATAGCAGAGAGCTGGATCAGAAGTAGAGCAGCCAGGACTTGAACTGGCACCCATGTGGGATGCAGGCACTGCAGGTGGCAGCTTTACCTGCCAAGCCACAGTGCTGGCCCCACACATATAGTTTCTATATAGATATCTCAGTATCTTAAAAACATTTGACAATATTATTTTGGTCTAATGGGTGTGGGTGTTTCAGTCTACCTATAAATATACATTTAAATAAATCTATACTTTGTTCCTATGAAGTAATTTCATCATATAAAATAATGAATAATGCACTAAGAGAAACAAGAACTGATTTTAGATTCTGGCCTTTGATTTTGATTTTTGATTCTGGCTTCATCATTAAAAATATGGTTAGATATTTCTAACCCTTGGGAATTTACTTTTTTAAATTATTTTTTGCTTTTGTGTTTTTGTCATTGCTGCTGTTGTTTTTTAATAACAGAGAGAATTATCCTCTGAGGTCTGGTTCAGCTCTAATCAGCTCTGTGATTTTGTAATTCTGTCCATCACACATACTCAATATATTAGCGCAAGTAGAGAGGCTAAAAGTGCTTTTACCAAATCAGCAATTAATCATTCATTCTTAGGAAAAGCATTGTAGCAGGATCCTAGAAGTTGCTTGCTAAGTCATGGGGAAGCCTATGATACCATGACTAAGAAGGAATACCAGAATCATAAAAGCTTATAGCTAAGGTAAAGTCATTTGCCAAAGGTAATACAGCCTCTTGGTGGCAGACGAGAGTGTCATTCCAGTCCCGTCTCCTGGCTTTCAGTGCTCTCAGGTATCTACTCCATTGTTCAGTAACCTCCTTCTCTGAATGGTCACCTTGATATCTATCCAAATTCCAGATCCTACTTGGTGGTGGTGGTGTTCAGTCCTTTTAAATGAGTGCTTCTGTGCTACTGTGGAGGGTCTTTCGTGAACCTGAGGAGCATGACAATCTCTGAAACTTTCTCTTGGGGAATTAGAAGCACCACAAGGGATAGCTGTTTGTGACTTATGCAGGGTGTATTTATGTCACAGAAGAAAGTGCTCACATCGCCTTTGTTCTTCACAGTGTGGTGGCTTCAGAGGCAAGAACCCCCCAGTCCAGGACTCCTGGCTATTCTGCATCCATTACCTGCCACTGTGCCTTTGGAGGAAAGCAGAAATAACTTACGCATCCAGAATGGAACTACCTGGCTCTCTTCCAATTCCACCATCTCTTCCCACCATGGTCTCATACATGACTTGCTGGTTCCCTCCATGACTTTTTGCATTGCAGACCAGGGGAGGAATTGAGAGTACCTCTTTCTTGCCCTACTTCCTTGCCTTTCTTCACCTGCTAGTTTTGTTTCTCTAGAGTGAATGGCAAGGTTTTTTAGCCTTGCAAAGCCTATGATAGATTCTGAAATAACAGCTTTCCTCCTAGAGGAGGCAATGTTTGTAAAAGAGATGCTGAAGAAAGAAAGGCACAACCAAAAGAGAAAGGGCAATTCAGGCAGAAGGAGCAAACTGAGCAAGTCAAGGAAGGATGGCAGGGCCTGGCATGTAACAAGCAGTTCTCTAAGCTTGGAAGACAGGGGTCCAGCCATGGGAATGCCAAATGTGCTCAGGAAACAAGAGAGAGGGAGAACCCAATCACAGGCAGCCTTACATGCCACACCAAGGAGTTGGCATTGTACTCTGCAGGTAAAGGAGGAACATTTGGAGGGTTTCCAAATATTGAGTGACATGATCATCTTGCACTGTGGAAAACAAAATGAAAAACAGATCCGAGAGTTTTGAGGCTGGAGACTAATGACACCAGTTAGAAGGTTATCAGAATAATTCACAAGAGACATCATGAAAAGCTCAAGTTGAGGATGGTGGAAGTAATGGAGAGGTTTGACTGACAGAAGAGGTTAAGGGGCCAGAATTAGAAGCTACTTGAGGACTGAGGGAGGGTTCCAGCTTGAGTGACTGGGTGGATCAGGATATCCCTGCTGAAGGGGAGAAACATGAGAAGGAGGAGAGTTGGAAGAGGGATGGGAGGCTTTGAGAATGGTTTTTACACCAACTGAGTTGGAGATACACAGTGCAAAGTTAGACACAAAGCTGGAGATGGAGGTCTGGGAGTTAGCATATGAGTGAAAAATTAAGTCATGGGAGGATATCAGATGGCTGGAGAAAGCCTGGAAATTAGGAAAATGGTTTTTGACAATGATATGGGGAAATCAATCCTTACTAGGTATGCAATATGCAAAAAACAAGGAACCAGCAAGGGAGGCAGAATAGCCAGACAGGTAAAAGGAAATGCAAGGGAGCTGAGATGTCTTGGTCAGGGAGGGAGAAGAGCATAGCCTAACTCTGCTCTTACCCTTAACAAAGACCAGAGGTTTAGTTTCTGGAAATGCTGACTTAAGAAGTTCTGGACCTGAGCACAAGGATGGGCGGCATAGAAAGAATGGAGGGGAGTGAAAAGTTCACACACTGGACTATGAAATTATCTCCCCTGACCTATGTCAGGGAGGGTGCTGGGGGATTTTATCTACAGAAACTACTGGTAGGTGCACAGCAAAACAGAGAGACAGATGGAGAGGAGAAAGAAGTAGAAGACAAGGAGTCAGGAACAGAGGATTCCACAAAGGCAAAAGGACAACAGCTGTGCAGCACGCCCAGCAGCCAACCAGTCCAGACTGAGGAGGGAAGAAGAGGGCTGAGCTAGGAAGGGCTCCAAGGGGAAAATATGAAACTGATGTGTTTAAGTGCTTGGAAAAATTACTGATAGTGTTTGGCAGAACTAATGGAGCATTTGGAAAAAATAAAGATAGATACATAGAAAACCAAGTAGATAAAAAAATTAAAGCAATTATTCTTTTGAAGGGGGGAAAGTGGTAAGAGAGCATAATCATAGTATACTACTTGGCTCAGCAGGGAACAGCACTTACACTATAAATGTATAAATATATAAGCATACAAATACTGGCTGCTGATTTATCAAAACATTTATGATGCAATCATATTGCGAGGATAGGGAAAAAGGAAGAGGGAACCAGTGAGAGGATTAAATCTTTGATCATCAGATGATAGTAGAAAGAGACAAAAGATAGCTAAAATTTAGAAACAAAAAAGTCACAGTAAAGCATGTTATTTAGAAATACAGACATAAATGCCAGCTAGGCATTGGAAATGATTTTCCCCGGGGGAAAACTTGAGGGGGTCAGGGTTGTCTTTTAGCACTGGCTGATGTTTTACCTTTGTAAATGAATTCCTTTAATAAAGAGAATAGCTATGAAGCATGATAGTGGAGGTAGAAAATGTTGAATGTTAGCTTACTTCAGTTGGATGGAGTCGGGGCGGCAGCTATAGGGGAAGGAAGAATTCTGATAAAATGGAAGAGGCCAGAGCATATTTACATCCTTTGTGTAACCAGCAGGTAAAAAGAAGGAATTGAAACAACAATGAAGAAAGATAACCAATGAGACCCTGGAGGACAGGAAACACTAAGCTTTATATGGGTTGGGGAAATTTTGGAATTTCACGAGTACATTCCTATTTATGAGGAAATCCTCTGTATGCCCATTTCCTCATCACTTTGTCCACCCTCTCCCTCTGCCCTCCAGTCTTCAACAGACTTGTCTTCTTATCTATATCCCTGTGGTTTTTCCAGTTAGGAAAGTCGTACTTCTCCCTCAGGATTCTAAGTCTCTAAGGGAATAAGGAGTTCAAATCTTTTTTACAGCTTACGTTCCTGGCCATGTTTTCATTTCCCTGAAATGGTTATACCTTCAATGAATACACCACAACCTCCAGAGAGAGCCCAGTTGCTACCCTTTAACCAGTCCCCACTGGAAACGTAATGGAAACACCAGTGGAAACTGAGTGATCCTGTTTAAGCTGATGACCTAGATATGGAATCACATTTTCAAGGAATGATGGCCACTCTGTGGGTTGTATCTCCTATTAGGACATTTCTGGAACCATGCATGTGTGGTGGCCACCATCACAAATGTGATGAAATATTCAACATAGTTAAATTATTCTCAGAGGTGGGTATTTGGTCTAGCAATTAAGATGCTGGTTGGGATGCCTGTATCCCTTATCAAGGTACCTGGGTTTGATGCCCAGCTCTGATTCTCGCGTCCAGTCTCCTGCTAATCCAGATCTTGGGAGGTAAGAGTGATGGCTCAACTAACTGGACCCCTGCCATCCATGTGGGAGACCTGGATTGAGTTCTTGGCTTATGGTTTCAGCCAAGACCAGTCACAGCTGTTGCAGGGATTTGGGGAGTCAACAAGGGAACAGGAGTGCTCTCTCTCTTGCTCACTCGCTCGCTCTTTTCAAATAAAAAAATTATAAAATGAAGAAAAAACTATCCTCCAGTGGGAAAAACCAGATCTGCTCCCTGGAGATTGTGCCCTGACAGTCCCTAAATGCGCCGTCATATTGAAGTCAGTAGGAATGGCAAACACCTCCCAACCCACCAGCCCCACCTCCCGCTGGAGGTCTTCATGATGGACCTGAGCAGCAGCTGTACACATCAGTCATGGTGAGACACCTTTTATTTTACTACATAAGATTTCTTAGAACAAAGAAAAGATTTTAAACTTTCAGTTGCATTTACTCCTACAAAAAAAATTAAATTGCATCTTAAAAACGTTATATTCACAAATGAAAGCTGTAGTTGGTGTGTATTTAATCCTCCACCTCCTATCCCTAGGGGATTTCATTTCTAAATATGTGTTTTAAAACAAGGATATCCAATAAAGATAGAGTTTATTCTAAAATTACAAAGAAAAATTCCCTGGTGGTTGCTTTTTATCCTTTCTGAAAAGTGACCATGTGTGCTTCTGCCAAGTTTTCATAGGAGTTGTACTTTATAAATGGCTCTGTTCCAAGATCAAGATGTATAAACATCCTGTTCATGTACTCTCCAGGCTTTTGGAGCACTCTCCCTGCAGATGGAATGGACTTCCAGGAGGAAACGACATAAGCACAGTGTGAACAGGTAAAGGCACAAACTACAGCAAGTGACAGTAAGATCATGGTAACAGTCAGTGAAGAACGGCAGAAGTCAGAAGGAATGCACTTTGGTTCTTTTGACACCCTTGTTTACACAAATACAGTAGGTTATGATATGGTAACACTAAATACTTCATCAATGCCAGGAAGGTATTAGTAAAAACAGGGAAGATCCTCGTTTTGGAAAGGATTGGATGCCCCCTTGATGAAATGGGAGAAAAATCTCCTTTTAAAAAAATAAAAGTCAGTGTTCTAAATGGCAAACTTTCTTGTTTAAACCTGTCCAATTATATTTCATAAACAGTCTCTCTCTCTCTCTCTCTCTCTCTCTCTCTCTCTCTCTCTCTCTCATCCTAAGGTTGCATTAATACACCATGGCTTTAATATGGTTACTTAATATCTTTTAGTAACCTGATGAGCAGTAGGCAACAGAGATTTGATTAAAACGGATGTGAATTTTATGAGGCAACTGCATCTACCACCACTATACATAATTCAGTTCCAAGTTCTACAAAGGGTAGGAAATCTGGTATCTAAAAGAACACAGAGAAGAATTTCTTTATCATGAAACAAGTTGATTTGTATGCTAAAAACTAATCACATCTTTTTTCTTAAATCTGTCATTTCCCAAATGTCAAGAGCAGATGGTGTTCATATCATTTTGAAACCCTAACAATTCAGAAATGGAAAAATGAAAATTTCTAACTTCATAGTTGTTGTATCTTCATAAAGCTCACCCAGTTGGCACAAACATTTTGGCAAAGGTGTGGCCTATATGAGACCTTGGTATGCTAAGCTGTGGGTTAGGAGCCTTGAGCTCATTTGTGGTCATGTGACTATGAAGCGCAATGTCCACCTTAACAAGGTTACTATCACAAATACACTTGGTGTTTGGCATTCACACTATCCCATGCTTATTAATGCATGCTTAAAATTAAAGAAAGTTGTTCAATCAGGATTCACTATAACACACACACATACACACTACACACACCCCAAATCATGAACTGGTTTTATATTTGCAGGTCAACACGTAACTGAAAAAATTCGAACTCAATTAAGTTGTGCTTGATGTAATTTTTTTTCTGGGCATGAATGTATCAGAATTTACTTTCTGCTACTCTCTATCCATCACAATCTGCTAAGCTACAAAGGGCCACTTGCAAGCTCTATTCAGACTGCCCCACAATTTAAATGAATTGTACATGTGAAAGGAGCTTGAGTCTGACATTAATGGTTCTAAAATTATGGTCTCTGAAACTCTGGGAATATTTTGGAGGTGCTACAATACAGACAAACACATACAAATAAGTAAAACTCTGTTTTTGGTATTCCATATTTCATTTCAATTTTATTTCACATTCAATATGAAATCATATTAAAGGCTTTTGTTTTTGCAAAAGTTTAGAGACCCAGGCCCTGTAATAACTATGAGGAGTATTTTTCCAGCACATAAGTCAAATTCAGGATTTGACAGTGGCAAATCACAATTGTTAAACTATGTCCTATTCCATAATAAAATTTTTAAAAATAAAACATTAGTGTGGAACAAAGTCTTAGTAAATTTGGCTTACAGTTAGGAAATATGAGAGCCAGCTTTGAAGAACATGTGATCCAGCCCCCTCAACCTACTGATGAAGAACCTGAGGCTCAGATGGGTTCACTGAGGGGTCTACCTGTTAGAAGCAAAACCGGGGCTACAAGTCAGGCCCCACTGAGACCCAGCATCCTCAACAAACCACACAGCAAACAGTAGTTGTGCTAATCATTAGTTCTGTTCCCTAGCATCAAAACAAATGCATAAAATAGGAAGGGCACATGGCTATTAGTTGGTTACTTTATAAACAAAGTATTTAAAACTTAAATTAGCACATGTAAAGAGTTGGCACAAACAGACGAAGGGTTTTTTTCACAGCAGCACTAGCATGGGCACAACATACCCCCTGAGCCACTGCCCTCAGCCCTTCCCCCCTCCAAGAGAGGTAGCGCTGCTGGCTGCAGATTTCTTCAGCTCTATTTTCATAGACTGAGTCTCAGCTCGAGGCTCGAATTTGGTCAGATTTCCTGCTCCTGGGGCAGCCACTACTGGCTTTCCTGCTTTCATACCTTTTGACATGGGAATGCGGGTGGGTGTAGGCCGCTGGGATGACCCATCTTGTCCAGACTGTAAGAGAGAAAAACACAGAGACACAGATATTGGTGAGCTTCCCCTGCGTTCGCCATCAATCTCAACATTAGCAGGACTCCTGACACACAGGACACCCACAGATGACCCTTCTCCAAATAAAAGAAGTGCAGGAAACTTGGACTTGGTATCTGATCTGCTTATTACCTCTCTTTTGCTTGAAACATTTCTGCCCAACTACCACCTCCTCTACCAGTAACTCCAGGGAAAACACAGGCCATGGGATCTGAATCAGGCTACTCCCACTCTCCCAGATTGTATCTCAACCCACCCCTCCCCTCCATTTCAGATGAAGCAGCTCTCTTTTTTCCTCCCAGAGCCCTTGCACTCTTCTATTTCTGTCACTGCCGACTACACCCTCCTTCTTAAAGCACCCCACACTCTTGCTGTGACTCCTTTGCCAGTCTCACCTCGTCATCTGCTGCCTCTGATAACTCCTCAGCTTCTGACTGCTCCTGGTTCTACTTGGCCTGCTTTCTACAAAGTGTCAGTTACTCAGCCCTCTTTCTCCAAGTTCTTTCCCCAGGTATCTGAACTGAGGGAACCCTAGCTTTCAGCGCTTTCCTAAAATGTGGAAAGATTCACATTTCCAACTTCTCTCTGGACATGTCCAGTTTCCTTCTCCCCCACCACCCATTTCAAGTAGAAATGGCATGACCCAAATGTTGCTTATCCTTTCCCGAGTTTTTCATTTTTTTCTCATCCTATACCCTTAGGTGACCAAATCAAAAATCCCAGTAACCTCTCTACCCCATTTGTCATGAAACTCTTTCAATTCAAATTGTTCTTCAATTGTTCTTCAATCGATCTGTTCTTTCCCTATCATTCAAGCAGGCACCCTAGAGGGCCCAGAGAACTGCCAACAGCAGCTTTGTCTTGAGCCTCTGGGCCCTCCAGTGTTTTCTTTCAATGGTTTTCTAGATAGATCCTTCTAAATTGTTAATATTGTGATATTTTCTTCATGATCATTATCATTCAATGACTCTTTTTATCTATTCTAGGAGATTAAATAATCAGTTTCATAATAAGACACGCACTGAAGCATAGTACAACTGTCCCCATTCCCCAGACATGCCAGTTGCCTTCATGTTTGCATCCCTTTATACATGTTGTTCTATTATTCCTCCCCTTTTCCTTCTTGAAAATTCCCCCTTCTCAGTGAAGCCTTCCTCCTTTGTGAAGCCTTCTCTGGTTGTTGCTTTGTGCTTACTTCTATCACAGAAGCACTAAGCAGTTCCAAACCTGCCTCTCCCACTCTGTCAAGAACTTCCAAACTCCTCTTTACGTGTCAGTGTCTAACCCCATGCTTAAAATGTACTTGACACTCAACAAAATGCTAAATGAATAATTGCACAAATGAACTAGCCTCACAGTTCAGATTCTTAGAGGGGTGTCTCAAACCTTTTACTGTCCTTGATTTTATGGGATCTGATACAGATAAAACAAACAGGCAGCCAGCGCCACGGCTCACTAGGCTAATCCTCCGCCTTGCAGCGCCGGCACACCGGGTTTTAGTACCAGTCGGGGCGCCAGATTCTGTCCTGGTTGCCCCTCTTCCAGTCCAGCTCTCTGCTGTGGCCAGGGAGTGCAGTGGAGGATGGCCCAAGTGCTTGGGCCCTGCAACCCATGGGAGACCAGGAGAAGCACCTGGCTCCTGCCATCGGATCAGCGAGGCCATTGGAGGGTGAACCAACGGCAAAGGAAGACCTTTCTCTCTGTCTCTCTCACTGTCCACTCTGCCTGTCAAAAAAACAAAAACAAAAAAACAGGCCATCCTTTAAGTCTAAAATACTTGGGAATTTATTTGGAAGTCCAGTTTGTAGTAAAAAATGTTGCTCCAGCACCAGTGCTGTGGTGTAGTAGACTTAGGCTCCACCTGGGCTGCTAGTATCCCATACGGACACTGGTTCCTGTCCCAGCTGCTCTTCTTCCAATCCAGCTCTCTACTTGTGGCCTGGGAAAGCAGTGGAAGATGCCAAGTGCTTGGGCCTCTAAACCCACATGGGAGACCTGGAAGAAGTTCCTGGCTCCCAGCTTTGGATGAGCCTTGCTCCAGCCATTGCGGTCATTTGGGGGAGTGAACCAGTGGATGGAAGACCTTTCTTTCTGTCTCTCCCCTTCAACTCTACCTCTCAAATGTATAAATAAAATCTTAAAAAAAAAATGTTGCTCCAAAGGATATGGCTATCTTGATCTCACCTTTACAATGGGGATAAGAAATTACAACAGAAAATATGCTGCAAATCACAACGATTTATATCTCCACTATCTTTGTTATAAAATGCAGTAAAAAGAAGCAAAACCTTACTCAACCAAGCTAAGGTTTGTGTTGCCTAAGAAGCAGTATTGAGCCATTTGAGAAGGTGCACAATTCTGAATATTAGGTGCTTCCTGTAGAACTGGTAACTGAAAGCTTTACTGGCAAAGCAATTTAGTAATTAATTCACACTTTGACATCTGTGTCTTGCGTCTATGCACAGAGAATTAAAGTAAATCACATTGAGGATATGAAGAAATACGCTATGGTTTCTATATTTAAACTATGAGCTTCCTGTTTTTCTTAAGAGATTTCAATTTATGCTACACAGTTGTTCAGAGTCTAAGAATCATAATTTCTAGCCTATTAAATTAATGCCTAAATAGTACATAATTCTATAATTACGTTTACCAATTTGTCCCCAATAAATGAATACAAATCACTAGAAGTGTTTTTGAAAAATGGAATTTAAGCTCTGGATTTTGTACTTTGGGCATGCTTTCATTCATTTTTTCCAGCTAGTTAGCAAATAAATGTTTCTAAAGCACCTGCTCTCTAAAAAATATAATGAAATAAAATACAGCTTTTAGGCATGTTAACCCACTTTTTTACTTTTAAAAGCATTTTGATATTAAAAATATCTTAATCTTATTTCTGGAATAAGGTATGACTATGGCTACATTTAACTATTTTACATATCGAATATTTTAGGTTATAGAAATGTAACCGAGGAACAGTTTTAACTTTCCCTGCATACCACCCCTTTCTCAGTTTCCATTGCAAAAAGTATTTTAAACATAAAAATAAAATTTTAACCTTACAGTTACTCTATGCTGTCATTTCAAAGAAACCACCTCTGCAAATTATTTTGAGAAGTCTCCATAATTTACATGTATAATTGAAGTTTTCCCTCAAAGTTGGTCCAATTTATCTAAAATATTAGGTCCTTTAATTCTCATTCCTCGGAACAGACAACACTTAGGACACCTCTGTGAGTGGGTTCCAGTGGAGGGAGAGGCAGGTGGTTTGGCTTTACTGTGGGTGCTGAGTTAGTCTCCCGGCTCCAGCCCTCCCTCTACTGGCCTGCACTTGAAACCTTCCCTACTCACCACTGACTGGGTTCCTCGAGTGGATGAGGTCGTGACTGGTGTTATGGTGATGGTGCTTGTCACTTTGCTCGCACCAGGTCTCGAAGAGAGATGATTCCTGGGAGAGCGAAGGACGGTGCCGGTGGAAACCTCCTTTTCAGCTGCCACGTTGAGTGGTCGGACAGTTATCACCGGACTGACTCCTTCAGAGGGAGTTGCAGGAGATCGTTTAAATTGAGACCCTAAGTGAATGTGAATTTTATTGTCTTCCGTGGTTATAATGTTGGCATTGGAGTTGTATTTCCGCACTGGAGTTGGGACAGTCTGTTTTTCTGGGGTGACTTTGAGGATAGTCCTTCCCATGGGCACTTCCTGGGATTCGGGTGGAACTGCCATCTCAGCTGGTGCTGCCGATGTGGACACCGTCATTATCTGAATGGGTGACGTGGGCCGGTCTGAAAATGTGCCTCTTCCACCTTCCGGGGTCTTCTCTCTGGAAAATGTAGTAATTGTGACTGGGGACATGGCTCGTTCTGTGCCAAGACTAGTATCTCCACTTTTTGGTTTTGAGGACATAACATTTGGAGATGGAATAATAGTTATCCTTGGTTTCTGATTCCCTAAGGTGGGAATGACAGTGGTACTAGAAAAAAACTCTTCAGATGTGGGGCTTGTTATCTCCAGAGTGGCAGTGCTGTTCTCGTGGTCCGGAGTCACCCGGATATGCAGGGGCTGGCCCTGCTTTGGCGAAAGGACTAGCTCTCCTGGGTGCCCTGGGCTGGAATTTGTGCGGGGCCCTTTCTCCTGCATGACTGGGGGGCCGTTCTCCCGTTTTCTCATCCATGGAATCCATGACTTTCTCATGGTGAGCTCATTTGCGGCTGGAGGGTACCGGTCTAGAACAGAGGAGCGTTCCATCGGCTTTTTCAATCCCACCTGTCGAAGATTACTCATGATGTGATTTTCTTCTTGAAAGGATTTCCGTATGAACACCGCAGGCGTTTCCTCCTCCGCCGCATCGCTGCTGACCGTGTCCGTTTGTACTCCTGTCGACGTCACGGGGACATCCACCATTCTCCTCCCATTCATGCTGGGTCTGAGAGCTCGGCTGTAGCGCTTGGAAAGCTCCAACTCTTTGGTCAGACTAAGGACTTCCTGGCCCATGCTTTTGTTTTTATTTTCTTCTTCCATAAATCGTTGTTGAAGGACCGAATAATCTACTTGGAGCTGAGAAAGCTGATCTTCTTTGTTCATTAACTCGTGAATCTTTTCTTTCAGAGCTTGGACTTCGGCTTTTAAGTCTCGACTTTTGGCTTCTTCCAGTCGAAATCTGTGTCTCAGCTCAGCTTCCTGACTCACCACTTCACCTTTCTCTATTGCTTTGTTCTTGGCGATTTGGTGCTTGATCTCCTCTAGCTGCTGGGAGAGGAAGTTAGCCTTATCTTGCTCAGTTCTAAATTTCTGCTCCAGCTGATCATACTCATCCTCAGTCTTCATCAGATCCCCTTCCACCACCTCCAGCTGTTGGAGGCGTTTCTTCAGCCTCTCAATCTCAAGTGTTAATTCTTTAATCTTGTTATCTTCCGGGCAGGTGAGTTCGGGTCCCTTTCGAGATCTCCCTCTTGTGATTTCTCTTTCCACTTCCTCGATACCATCCAGTCTCTTCTTCAATAAGTCGACACTGCAGCTTAATTCAGAAGACTTTTCTTCTTCGCTTTTCAGCTTTCCCATCAATTCATCTCTCTCTTTTGTCAGATGGTATACCTTTTCCTCCATTTCGGATTTCAGTTTCAACAGCTTCTTACTTTCTTCGATCAGTTTTTCAGTGACATCCATAACCTTTCCTTGTTCCACCTTAAAATTCTTATTCAGCCCATCCACTTTTCTCTCCTCCTGTTTTATTTTTTCCATCATATTTTTCCTTTCATCAACTAGCATCACAGTAAATGACTTCAACTTCGTAAGATCATCTTTTAGGCTTAATTCAGCTTTTTCCAATCTACTTTCAGAACATTCAAGTTCTTTTACTCGACTCTTGACCACCTCCAATTCATTTAGCAGGTCTTTGGTTAAGTTCTTTTCTTTCTCCAGGTTTAAATGCAGTTGAGTGCATTCAGATTTACTCTTGCTAAATGCCTCTTCCAATTTCTCCAGCTCAGACATTCTCTTCTGTAACTTCTCAACTTCAAGTTTGAGCTCCTTACTATGGTGTTCTTCCTCTTGCAGCTTCTTCCTCAGTTCCCTGCACTGGGATTCAGTTTTCGTGATCTCCTCATCTTTGCCCTCCATTTCAAGCACACGCTTTCGGAGATTCTCCACTTCGGCCATGAGGCTGGAATTTCCACATTCTCCTTTGGCAATTTTATCTCTTAATTCTTGAAGTTCCTCCTCTGCCTTTTGAAGATTCTTGTTGGTTTCTTCTAGCTCTTCGATTCTTTGAGTTAAGCCAACCAGCTTGAGTCTAAGTTGCCTGTTGTGGGATTCTTGATTAGCCAATTTAGCATTCATCTCTTCATGTTCCTGAGAAAACCTGGAAGCCTTGTGCTCAAAGTCCACTTCTAACTTGAGTAATTTCTGTCTGTCTTCTTTGGATTTAGAGGTAATGGCTTTGAGCTTTTCTTCTTCTTCCCTTAGTTTCTGAGTAAGATCCTGTACTTTCTGGCTTTGCAAGCCAAGTTGCTCAATATGCATTTGTCTTTCATCCACCAGCATGAGTGCAAAGGATTTGAGTTTGACAAGCTCATCTCTTAGTTTATTGAGCCGCTTAACATTTTCCTTTTCTTTCCGGGCTTGATAAGCCTTTTCTTGTTCGAGAAGCTTTTTCAACCTAGAAAATAAAATATAATTACATGTTAAAAGAGTAATCAGCAAATCAGTTTGATTTTAAATTATTAAATAAAAAACCAAAATGCTTCTAAGTAAATCTTTATCAATTGCTATATCAAGGTTTAATATTCATTAATGAATCTAATAAAAAAGTTAGGATAATGGGGGTGGGCATTGTGGCACAGCAAGTTAAGTCACGTCTTAAGAAGACCACATCCCATATCAGAGTGCCTGGGATGGAGTCTGGCCTCTGCTTCCAGTCAAGCTCCCTGCTAATGTGCACCCCAGGAGACAGCAGGTGATGACTCAAATACTTGGTCCCTACCACCTGAGTGGGAGAACCGGATGGAACTCCTGGTTTTGATATGGCCCAACACCCCTACTTCTCATTCTCCCCATTTCCCCCATATACTTCCCCCTTACCTGCCTCTATTGCAGGCATTTGTGGAGTGGTCCAGGGGAAGTAATTTCTCTCTCTTTCTGCCTTTAAATAAACAAAGTTAAGTAAAGCCTACGAAAACCAGCTAGGATTTTTACCTTTGTGGGGGGCGGGTAGTGACTAGCAGGAGGCATGAGGAGGACTTTGGGAATACCAGGTTCTGTGATTTACATGCTGGTTATAAAGGATTGTTTAATTTAATGAAATGTTGGTAAGCTGAACACTTATGATGTCAGAACTTTTCCACATGAGGTGTTGTACTTTAATAAAATAATCATTAAGTAAAACTGAGGTTGTGCAATAATGACTATAATGCTTTCTGTATTCTAGGCACTAGTTTTACTTATTCTCACAGCAACACTCTGAAAGGCCTGTGTCACTGTCATCATCCCCATGAGGAAAATGAGACACGGGGAGTTAGGAAGCTACCCCAGATTGCACAGTCAGTCAGTGGCAGTGCTGGGATTCAACTCAGCCAGCAGGGCTCCCGAGTGCTTACCTCTCACCTCCACATTTTACAACATGAAGAGAGGAATTTAAGTGAAAGGAAAAAACTGGAAAAGAAGGACCTATGGTTTTATTTTGAACTCTTTAGATAAAACTATGTAACTATTACCTGATAAAGAAAAATAAGGCAAGACAGGCTTTCTGATACAAAAGCTGATCTACAGAAACTGATTTTAGTTGACACCAGAATTGGCATAAGATTTTGTCTCATTTTTCTGATTTTAACAATTTTCTTTGACAGAGAACTAAGTAGGAAAGAAAACTGAATTATTATCAATTAAAAAAATATAGCAGCAACAGATGCATTGTTCTCTATGCTGTTTATGTATGGCTTTAAAAAGTAGGAATTTAAATATGCCAGACTAATTATGCACCATTTTTGTATTGGTTAGTTAACTTGTACCTAAATACCTAAATAAACTGAGTTATATTTATATTCACTGTATGTTAGTCTAAGAATGTATTTCATGCTACTCAATTCACAATAGCTAAGATATGGAATCAACCCAAATGCCATCAACAGAACACTAGATAAAGAAATTATGGGTTATGTATACCATGGAATACTACACGGCATTAAAAAAAATATGAAACCCTGTCATTTGCAACAAAATAGATGCAACTGGAAAACATCATATTTAGTGAAATAAGCCAGTTCCAAAAGAACAAATGCCATATGTTCTCCCTGATCTATGATAACTAATAGAGCACCTAAAAGGTAATCTTTAGAAGTGAAATAGACATTTTGAGATGCAGTGACTTTGAACAGCCCTTATCTCGACTGTTGAGGAACAGTTTTTTTTCATAATATCTGTTGAGCTCTTTACTTAGTATAGAGTTAATCGTATATGTATAAAGTTAATTGAAAATAGATCTTAGTAAAAAAAATAAGAATGGGACTTGGAGAGGGAGGAGGAAAAAGGGTGGGAGTGTGATTGGGAGGGCAGGTATGGTGGTAAGAATCACTGTATTCCTAAAGTTGTATTTATGTAATGCATCAAATTTGTATTTCTTAAATAAAAGGTTTCTGGAGAAAAAAATGTATTTCGGTAACTGATTTGTTTATAAGAGACTCAAGTTATGAATGAGCACTTACATGTATTTAAGTGCATTTTATTATTTCAATATATTTGCATCTTTATTATTCTAATTGATTTATTTTATAATTATGATTGGCTAGAATAATTGTTAGCCAAATTGAATTTAATAGTCTTTCTTTAAAATAAATGTATTTATTTGAAAATCAGAGTTACACAGAGAAAGAGAGAGAGACAGAGAGATCTTCTAGCCTCTGGTTTATTCCCCAAATGGCTACAACAGCAAGGGCTAGGCCAGCCCCAAGCCAGGAGTCAGAAGCTTCTTCTGGATCTCTCACATGGGTGCAGGGGCCCAAGCACTTGAGCCATCCTCTGCCACTTTCCTAGGCACATTAGCAGGGAGCCGGATCAGAAATGGAGCAGCCGGGACTCAAATGAGTGCCCATAGGCAATAACGCTGACCCCTAACAGTCTTTTTTAAAAAGATTTATTTTATGTATTTGAAAGGCAGAGAGAGAGAGAGAGAGAGAAGGAGAGAAAGAGAAAGTAGATCTTCCATCTGCTAGATTATTCCCCGAAAGGCTGCAAACAACAGGGCTGGACTAGGCCAAAGCCAGAAGTCTGAAATTCTACCTGGGTCTCCCAAATGGGTGGCAGGGGCCCAAGCACTTGGGTCATCCTCTGTTGCTTTCCCAGACACATCAACAAGGAGCTGGATCAGCAGCAGAGCAGCAGGGACTTGAACTGGCTCTCTGACATGGATGCTGGTGTTAACAGGAAGTTGCTTAACCCTGTTCACTATGATGCCAGCCCCTAATTTAATAATCTTACACTGCATTGTATGAGAAATTATTGTACATACAAATAGGGCTATTTATAATTAAGTCCTGTATCAGATAATTATTATAGAAATGATTCTAATGATGTAATTAATATTTTTAATATAATTTATTTTTATAAAACATACCCTTGTATCTAAACATCTCTTAATTAAATACATGGCTTCCAAAAACCATTATGACTTTATCCCTGAAGTGGGAGGAGAAAATTGTTTTCAAATCTTACATACTCACATGACCAATGTTGAATCATTTCACTAAGTGGGGTCCTTACATGTGTAAAAGGGTATTTTACTGACCATCTTCTCTTCTTATGTGGAGTCAAAACAACTGAAATAATGTCATAGATCCATAGACTAGAAAAGTCTTTAGAGGATATTTTCAACATAGAATGCCATTTTTAAATTCTCTGGCCTTAACTAGACTATCAGAGATGAATTTACTGCAAACATCATTGCCTTCAATTCTAAGCTTAAAATGTTAAAAATCTTAAAAATATGTCTATTTTTTAAAGAAGAATAGGTCTCTGTGTTATTAAAGGGGTTGGGTTAGAGGCTAAAACAGAGACTGTGAAGTCAGACATAGGTAAATGTGAGTTCTGACACTGCCACTTTCTAATTATGAAATTCTCAGATCCCCAATGCTTTACCTATAAATGAGAGAGGTATATTAGTACCTATCTGATGATATTGTTCTGAAGACTGAGATAATAGAAATAAAATGACTGTTGTCTAAACTTAATACACAGGTATAATAATAAACTTGTCCCTTAACACCTGTTTATAAATGTATTTTTCATTCTTATTTTGTATTTAACAAAATTATATATTTTTAACTTGTAAATGTATAATTTACAAACATATTTAGAAATCCAATGATTTTCAACAAAAACACTTAAGACAGTAAACTCAAATGTTCTGATTGCTGCTGGCTTACCCATTTGACAAGATTCATCAAGCCATGTAATTAAAATTGTTGAATTTTATTAAATTGTGTCTCAATAAAAATACAGAGAAAAATAGAAAGTCTCAGAAAGTGTTCTAACATATTAGAAAAAAAGAAAATGGTTGTATAGAGGTATTATGAGAATAACTTAAAACATGATACAAAAGATAAAACTAGTTATTAGTCTTATGGCAGAAAGAGGGGAAAGCAGAGGTGGGGAAGATAAAGAGGAATGATATTTTCAGGTGGGCTTGAAGAGTTGACAAGAAAAGTTGGCCTAGTGAAGTAATATTTGAAATCCTAGAGAATCTCTAATACTGATATTATTGCAAAAGGCTCTTAAAAGCCCATCCCAAACTCTAATTTTTGCTATCTAATTTTTTAAGGGCAGGGGAGGCTAAAAAGAAAGGTGTCTTGGGCAGTGCCTTGTTTTTATTGTTTCATTTATTTTTTACAACAACCCTTGAACAAGGCATAACTGTGCCACATTATAAACATGACTAAACATAAGAGAGCATGACTAAGAAGGAACAGATTGAGATTTTTGTACAAATTTATTTGCATAAACACTGTGTTGTAAAAACAATGCTATTCCTCAAATAGACATTGCCTGGGCAGCTCAATTTGCAAGACTTTGTTTAGATAAATTTTATACATTAAGAATAGTTCTTAAAGGGTGCATATTGGCTTATTGGTCAACTTTATTTGGCTTGATTCAGAATTTGGCTATTTAGAATTGTAAAGTTCCTCCTTGAATTGTCCTGTCACCCAAAATATCAGTTGATACCTAGATTGTATCAAAGGCAAAATGACCCCAATCATTAATAAAAACACAGGTCAATGCACAGAGCCCTTCAAAACACTCTCAAGCTCTCCCTCCTGCTGACATCAGTCCATTCAGTAGTATGGATCGATGATTTGTCATTCAATTAGCTATGAGCCCACTGGGCTGGTCATTGTTTATTTCTTAGGAGCTTCCAATCCTTGGGCTCCAGTTCCAAACACATTTTCCTGATGTCAGTCAACTACAACCATCTCTTCCAGATGCTTAGGCCTCAAATTTAGAGTTATCCTTGAGTCCTCTCTCTCACCTCCCCACATTCAATCCCTCAGCAAATCTTATCATCTCTACTTAAAAAATACACACCAAAATCAAATTAGTTCTCACCTCCTCCACTGCCATCACCCTGGTCCAAGCTAACTACTATTTCTTATCTGGATTATTGCAATAGCTACCTAATCAGACTCCCAGTTTCCAGTCTTGCCCACCTTCTTTCCCTAGAGGCCAAAGTGATTCTAAAAAAGGGAATGATATCAAGGGGCCGGCGCTATGGCACAGCTGGTTAAAGCCCCAGCCTGCAGTGCCAGCATTCCATATGGGTGCTGGTTTGAGTCCCAGCTGCTCCTCTTCGGATCCAGCTCTCTCCTATGGCCTGGAAAAGCAGTGGAAGATGGCCCAACTCCTTGGGCCCCTGCACCCATATGGGAGACCCAGAGGAGGCTCCTGGCTCCTGCCTTCGGATCAGCTTAATTCTGGCCATTGTTGTCATTTGGGGAGTGAACCAGTGGAATGGAAGACCTCTCTCTCTCTGGCTCGACCTCTCTCTGTAACTCTCTCTTTCAAATAAATAAAATAGATCTTTAAAAAAAAGTAGAATGATATCAAATCATATCACTTTGCCTATACAAAAAAAAAAAAAAAAAGAAATAGAGGACATAGGAAACAGGCTGGAAGAATCAACGGCTTCATATTTTAAAATATATATGAGTATATATGTATATACATACATATACATCTCATGTGTATTTACATATATACACTTATATATAATGAAGATATTAATATGTTCCCTCTTACTTTAATGCTGTTTGATTTTCCTTACAGCAATAGCACAGTTAGCAAGTAAGAAATAATGATAGCATGACATCCAATAAATATAGAAGTAATTATGGATTACAACTATCTTGCAATCCCCAACAGTACTGCTCATCAATATCTCCCCAAAAGACAGACATCCAGACTTTGTATACATATGTACACATCTCCATTCATGAACTATTCTTACCAAAAAATTAAACCTGAATCAGATCAAGCTTCTATAACTAATTACTAGTTTATAGGACAACAGCAAGAAAGTGCTAAATAACATCATGATTATGAGGTCAGAAAAAAGCCAAAATATGGACAATCATGTGAACAACCTAATTTCTTCAGTAAGTAAGTTCTAAGATTAAAAAAAAAGAACCGAGCAGTGGGGTGTAAATTAAAATAAATTCTGAAGACATATCAATCAATTATAATCTCTTGAATTCTTATTCAAACTATTTTTTAAATGAGACAACGGGAAAAATGTTTAGAAATTATTACATTTCAGGTTTGATAGTGGATTGTGGCAATATTTTTAAAGAGTTATTTATCTTTGCAGGTGGCATCTTTACCTGCTATGCCACAGTGCCAGCATTCCATATGGCCACTAGTTTGAGTCCCTGCTGCTCAACTTCTGATCCAGCTCTCTGCTATGGCCTGGGAAAGTAGTGGAAGATGGCCCAAGTCCTTGGGCCCCTGTACCCATGTGGGACACCCGGAAGAAGCTCTGGGCTCCTGGTTTCAGATTGGCGCAGCTCCAGCCGTTGTGGCCATCTGGGAAATGAACCATGGAATGGAAGACCTCTCTCTCTCTCTTTCTGCCTCTGCCCCTCTGTAATTCTGCTTTTCAAGTAAATAAATAAATATTTTTTTAAAAAAAGAGTTACTTATCTTTTAGAAATACATGATAAAATATTGATAAATGAAATAATATATATGAGATTTATAACAAAATAACGCAGCAGAATGTGAATAGATGAAACCAGACCAGCTAGGAGCTGATTAGTTAAATTAATCAGTTAATTGAATTCCTTAATTTAGGATCTAAGGACAAATATTGGGGGGTTGGGTAGAAGGGTAAGTAGGAGTTTTTTTTAAGCCTTCTCCTGATTATCCATTTTTCTAATAAACACCATCCTTGCAACAGTCAATCTGCCTTTCTCTATTCTCAGTCTTCTTTGGAAAACAAATGATGTAAAATTTCACAGGTCCTTTCTTAACACTCCAGCTTTTCCACTATTTCTCCAAATTAATCAGTTTTGGCTCTGAAATATCAATTGTTTCTTTGTTTCCTTTTGATGTTTTCACTTGTCCCTGTCTTAATCCATCAAACCTCATTTTAAAACACTGATGTCACCTTAAAGTCATCCCAGGCTTGCTTCTTAGCCACACTGTGCTGATTTCCCTTCTCAGCAAACACTGTTTTTGCTTTTCATCAACTCTCCCTGTATTTTTTCTCTCTGTCTTTCAAGAGAGAGGGCAGGTTAGAACTAGCAAGGGCATGATAGTAATTAAAGATGAATGAACCTGAAAAAAGTCCAGCTTGCATGCAGTTGAAAGTCTTTAATCACAATGCATTTTTTCCCAACCAGAGCATAGTGCAGAGCTAAGCAGCTTGTTAACATGATAGGGCATGGTTTAAGAAATAACTCTGAAAGAAATGTTACTTGTTAATACACTACCTCAGTTCCTCAAGATGGTGACCATTAAAATAAGTATTCAGTGTTAATCCAATGTCCCACCATACGGAATGCAGCTGGGATTAGGGAGAGGTAGATGAGGCCAGGTTGTGCAGCTGGAGAGTTAAATCCTGTCCTCATGTGAAATTTTGATATTTTCTTCACCATGAAGTTTTTGCATTAATTGTGATTTTTAAAAGTAGTAATTTAAATAGAACACCTTTTGATAACCAAGGGGATTTTTTGGTTTTGTTCTGTCATTCTCTAAATTATGGTATGGAAGATGAAAGCCTCACTTGCCTAGCCTCAATCCCAGCTCTAATTATGGAGTTCCAGAGAATCCTTGCTTTCTTAAAAAAATTTCTATTCATTTGCAGAGAAAGGCAAACAAACAAACAAAAAGCTTCCATCTGCTGGTTCATTCCCCAGATGCCCACAACAGCCAGGGCTGGGCCAGGCTGGAGCCAGAAGCCAAAAAATTTAATCTGGGTCTTCCAAATGGGTGATGGAAATCCTACTTCTTAAGCTATCATCTGCTCTTTCCCAGGGTGACCATTAGCAGGAAGCTAGAATCAGGAGTAGAGCCAGGACTCACACCTAAGCACTCTGATATGGGATGTAGGTGTCCCAACTGGCATCTTGACCACTGCACCAAACACCTGCCCCAGACTCAACTTTTATAAATGAAGAAAGGACAGATTCTTTATAACAGGACATACACTTTTTTTGAGCTTTGCTTATGTCTGATATTTCTTAGTAGTAGGGATGAATTTGTAAAAGCTCTTGTAATTTCTTCCTCTTATGAAGAACAACAGTATTGTAGAGCATCTGACCTCAACCTTTTGACCATATCCCATACAATATACTAGAAAACCTATTTCAACCATTTCCACACTGAAAAACAACTTGGTAGTACCAAAATGAAAGAGATGGAAATAAAAAGAGTAAACTTGTGGCTAGCAACTATTGTGAATTATTTTTACTTAATCATAAGGGCCCTTAACTTACTATACTCATAACTTTATATTTTAAAAACTATATCTTATAAATTAAAAAATAACAATGCTATTACTTTGATAGTATAATCCAAGTAATTCAATTAGCCCATACACACAAATCTCAGACAGGTTATCACAAATGAAGTTTTCCTCTATCAGACTTTCAAAGGATTATGTGTGATTCTGCTTTGACATATTGATGATGTGTTTTGAAGTCCAGTGATTGAAAACTGTAACCAAGGATATGGATTATGGACCCTGTGTAGGTTAGCACAACAACCTACAACAAGTTAAGCAAATTAGGAATTTTAACCCATAGCAATTTAACTTTAAAATGCATGCATGGCAGCAATGAAAAATTCATAGCTGGTAATGAATTCTCCTTCTTGAAGGTCATGGGATTCCCAACTACCAGACAAGCACAGCCTCAGTAAGTGTTTGCAAACAGTGGGTGGCAGTCTGACTCCCTTGTAAAATACAAATTTAGTCTTCAAGAAAATTTAGTAACATATTCACTTAAATTTATAAATGTTACATTTAAAAATAGATCACTTGGTATAATACTAGTAAAAAGCTCTTGGAGTAAAACTTCAAATCTAGAGAATTACTGGTTGTCCACTCATAAGAACTAAAGAAACGTTGAGTGTTTTCTGATAGTTTACCACCCATCAGGAGGCCCATATTTGAGAAGCATGAAAGGGAGCTCTCAGATCACACCCTCTGGTATGGATCTCCCTGACTCAGTACCGAAATCTAACTGTGATTCATTAGTTCATTCAAAGAATGCAACAATGATGATTGGCAGACAGGATATTAGAGGTTAGGAATAAAAAAAATGTTACAAAACAACGTAAAAAGTGTCATTTATACTTTAAGTACAGGAACCCAAGGTCCCCTGCCAAGGGATACGTCAGGGGAGGGATACAGATGGAGGAAGTCCTTACTCAGGGCTTTGCAACTGTCCTTCTCAGTACTCTTCTGCTTCCCAGTACTCTTCAGGGGGTGCAGCCCAGACAGCACTTCTGTGAGAGCTTGTCAATCTCTCTCTGTCTCTGGGAAACCAGTCCCATACTGGAGTGTCTATCTTGATATTTGGAATGAGAACTGGATTTCAGGGCCTATTCTTTGACTGGTCAGATGCCCCTGCAAGCTACAATCTACATGGCTCTAGTGCCCCAAACTCCAAAATCCAGATACCTAATATGATGGTATTAGGAGACTGGGGCCTTTGGGAGATGACTGGATTTAGTTCCCTTAGAAAGGGACCCCCGAGAGCTCTTTCTTGCTCCCTCTATCCTATGGAGATGCAATGAAAGGACAATGTTCTGCAACCTGGAAGAATCTGACCAGGCTGGCGTCCTGTTCTCAGATGACCAGACTTCAGAACTGTGAGAAATTGCTTTCTGTTGTTTGTAAGCCACCAAGTCTTTGGTCAGATAAAATACTTATAAAATAGGGGACATCAGATAGTATTTTTTGTTTTTGATGACATTTATAAAGAATCAGGTTGGTGAATAAATTTACTTATTTTCATGGAATAGAAACAAAGATGAACAGAAAGAGCCATGACCCATGAAGTTTGTCACTCAAGCATGTGGCCTTGGGATCTCCCTTCCAGGTGGCCCCTTCATCTTCCCTTCCTACCCCAAAGAGGACTTCCAGCGTTCCTCTTCCAAAGTATGTGCTACCCAGGTTCATCACATGCTCCATCTAGGAAACAGTTGTGAGCTATTGGCCCTCAGAAAATAAGTGGAGGGATTCCCTTATCAAAGCCAGAGAGCAAGGAGGATGTAGAGGGACAGGTGGATTCTCAGGCCCCTGAAATCAGAGTGAGAGTATCCTCTTACGTGCTTAAGTAGACGGGTCTCTCCCTGGGGGGTATATTTGTGGTCACACAGAACATGAGGGGAGCATGAATGAGGTTTCCTGGTGACACAATCCACAAAGGCAGCATATACCTCATTTTACTCCATACATGCATTTATAGAGTGCTGAGAGAAAGTCATGGTTTTAAGGGAACCCACAATACAAGATACAATTAATCTAATTTGTCTTGGATAAATATTTACACAAATAGGACTTGTTTAAAATAACATGGGGAGCAGGCATTTAGCCTAGCAGTTAAAACGCCCACACCTCACATTGGAGTATCTAGATTTGATTCCCAGCTCCAGCTCCTTGCTCCAGCTTCCTGCCAATGCAGACACTGGAAGGCAGTGATGATGGCTCAAGTGGTTAATTCTCTGGCCCCATTTGGGAAACCTGGATTGAGTTCTTCACTTGTGGTTTTGGCCTGGCACAACCCTGGCTATTGCAGGCCTTTGGAGAATAAGTCAATGGGAGCTCTGTGTGTGTTTGTGTCTGTGTGTGTGTATGTATGTCTCTCTCTGCCTCTCAAATAAATAAAATAAAAATAAATTAAGTAGAAAATTAACTGCATAAATCACTTAGCATACACAGATATTTTTAAAAGTTCTTGGAAAATAGAATTAGAAAGTCTGTTTTGGTATAAAAAATTTTGAAATCATGCAGTTTTTTTCCTAATTTTTTTTTGAAGATTCCTCACATTTCCATATATTTCCATAAGTAGTATACTTACCTGAAATTTTACTAAAAATTTTTAAAATTATTATGCTAACATTTATCTTTTACCTAGTTTGGGAACAACTTTTAAGCTAAGGCACAAACTAAAAAATCTTAACAATAAATTCCAACATCCCAGACTTCATTTTGTATTGCTCTTGACTATTGTTGATCCAGAAAAAAGGAAACATGAATGCCCTTCTGTTGTGGAAAGGATATTTAGTTTTACAAGAAAACAGAAGTTCAGCCAGTCACATAGAATTAAGAATCCAAGCTCATCAACTTATTAAACCCAAGATTTTCATCACTTTAAACAGAGACAAAACATTATTAACAATCAATGCTTCACAAATCTACAGAAATGAAAAACATATCATTTGCCCTAGTGTTCAAATTGATTTAAAAACAGGTCATGATATAAAAATGTGGTTTTGGCCAAATGAAGTTCTTTTGTGGAAGACTCATAGTACCTCATAGCCTTACAGAGCAGTAAATGAGAACTATTTATTTTGATACACTCTACTAAACATGGATAATTTTTTGGCGTCATGAAAAATTACTAAAGCTGAACTTTCCACACAATTTTTTAGCATAGTCCAAACTCTAAACTCATTCCCACTTTAAAATCAAACCTCCTATTTGCTTTATTATTCCTGTTATCACTGCCACACTGAGTTTTCAGAACAAACAGGGCTTTCTTTGGATCTCTATGCATTCTAACTCCCTGCCAACTTTTACAAGCCTTTTCCACCTATGCAAAGAGAGATCAGCAGAAAATCCGTATAACAATAATGACAAAAAATAAAAATTCTCGAAAATAATATTTTACCTCAAAGGAGTTTTTTTGGCTCATCAAGAAATCACACTTTAGAAGATACATTTGTACTCTACGAAAGGGTGCCTGTTAACACACCTTCAGAACACAGCAGCTGGATCGCTGGTGGTAAGATAAGAGATCTTTCTGTTCTGATACAAACTTCCTGAGGTCTCTGCAGAATGAGATCACTTTTCCCTCCATCAAAAACCAGGAGCACTCCTCATACCATAAGATGCACTGCGGCCAGTTCCAATCAAGGATTCTGAGGCATCAAGGAGTCACAGTCAGCTGATAAATCCCAAAGGCTGGCACCATCCACACTCAGTAAAACCTGTGGCCGCAAGCTAGAAAACTGTCGAGGTCTTTCAGCCCTGGACAGATTAGTCAGGGCTCTGCAAATGTCCAGACTCGGCTTCCAAGATGCTCTTTGCAATAACACTTAGAAATGAACTTACTGTCAGGAAACCCTATTAACAAATAAAATGTGTACAGCCGAGAGTAAAACAGCTCTTGACTTCCTTACCTTAATACTAGGAAGCATAGTAGCTTTTGCTTTTGTTTTTGTTTTTGCTAAGGGGGTACTGAAGTTTGTTCAACAGCGGCAGGCCCTGCTCAGCCCCCTACTCCACAGGGAATTAACCGTCACATTCCAGCCCTGTCATCAGAACAATGAAAGGTGAATGTTGTGCAAAACAGCTTGGGACCACTAACTGATGATGTCATTCCTTCCTTATATGGTTCATTATTGTGCAGATTTACTTTGGTCTGTGAGAAGGGGCGGAGCTACCCAGGACTGGAAGAGAAGACAGCTCTTAAGAAGCAAAGCAAATGAATGGGAATTATGCTCCGTACTCAAGAAAATGCACTTGGAGTGGGTGAAGTTGGGGGGGGGGGGAGGAAGGAATAATGAGATAAAGAAAATATATGCATAAAATGTCAAATGGGCCTCATTCCTAATTTTTCAAACTAGCTAAACTCTGTACAGTTCTATTCAGCATGAGCTGGAATTTAAATAAGGGTCCTAGAGTCTTAGCTGTGATTTAGCCAAAGGGACAGAATTCATGTTTCAATCAAAGTGCTCATTTCTTTCTTTCTTTCTTTATTATTATTTTTTAGTTCTAAGTGAAAACATTACCCTGTGGGCTTTAGAATGTCACATACCCTTTCGTTTAAAGATCATTTTGTCATTCAAAATTTTTGCCTTCATTTCTTCCCTTTAAGTATCAGAAAACCTGCTATCTACATACAAAAAAGTGGATGAACCACTTTCATCATCACTCATCAAAATGTCCCCAAAGTCTGTCATCTTCATCTTCAAACTCTCTTCTCTTCCTTCTTCCCCTTCCTCTTAGCTTCTTCCCTTCTTTCGTGACTGATTCAGTCAAAAAGCCATCAGACAATTTACAAGTTTCAGTATAATATTTCCTAACCCATATGTGAAATTGGAGAAGACCCCCTAAGATTTCCACTGAAATGTGGCCCCTTGAAGTTCCCTAGAAATGCTATCCCGGGTACCACATGTGCTACTGGAATTTGGAGTGCCATATGATTTCACCACAGGCTTATTACTAAATTCCAGATATTAATAAGCCCAAGAGGGTTCTTGCCTAAAATTTAGAGAAGAATTCTAAATAACGGCACAGATAAACTAGGCAGCATGGTACATTTTAAGCTTTTATTTAGTGAGAAAGATGCATAGGAGAGTGAGAGTTTTATTTAACAGAGAGAGGTGAATAGGGGTTCATATCAAGCACCAGGAACCAGCCACGTGGAAGAGCATCTAGGCCAGGAAGCCTAGAGCACATGGCCCGAAGGCCATGTGCCCTGGAGGCACCGGGCTATAGCAATCCCTGTCCTGGCAAGAGGCCAGGGAAGAAGAGCCAGCCGGGCCACATCGTGGCCTGGCTTTTAACCCACTTCCAAAGGGGAATGGTTAATTAACCTGATTGGCTGGTGGGCACCCAGGTGTGGCCAGGTAGGGGAATGAGGCCACACAAGGGCGTGGCAAAGGCATCAGGTAGGGGCATGAGGTCACACAGGGGTGTGGTGAAGGCATGGTCTTCCAGTTCACAAATCTGATCAATTTTAACTTGTATGCCTGCCTACTTCATATGTATAGAATATTTATGTCATTTATGTCATGAATTCCATTTTAATTGTAGAATAAAAGTATAATACCATATAAATTAGTCAAACTAACTTTCAAGATAATAGGATTAAATTTTGCAGAACATTTTAAAATCTCAGCCACCTTTTCCTTTATGTTCTTGTTTTTTAAAATTTTATGTATTTGTTTATTTTTATTTGAAAGGTAGCATGACACAGAGAGAGAAAAACAGATCTTTCATCTACCAGTGCACTCCTCAAACACCCAGAACAGCTTGAACTGGGTTCCAGAGGCCTGGAACTCAATTCAGTTCTCCCACATTGAAGGCAGGGACCCAATTACTTAAGTCATCACCTGCTTCCTCCCAGAGTGTGCATTAGCTGGAAGCTGCAATTAGAAATAGAGCTGGGACTCAAACTCAGGCATGTTGATACGGGATGTGGGTATCCTAACAGTGTGTTTACCACTGGGCCACGCACTCACCCCTCTGCTATCTTTTATATTACATAAATAAAAGCAGTTATGTGATGGCACAGAAAAGAATATGAAGAAAAATAAGTTCAAATCATTGCTTTCCTACATCCCTTATGTTCAGTCATGCCTTTTGCTTTAAAGGATGCCTACTCTGTATAATAATCAGTTCATGCTTCAGTGCTGTAGCACTGAATAAATGGTTTTGATTATATATTTGTTTTGGGAAAAGTTACGTTAAGCAACATTCATCAATAAGATAAAACTGTAGATATCAACTAATTCGTTATTGCTTGTTTTATTGCTATTTTAATGTGGATGGGAAACTGAAATTAAAGAAGAAATAAAGAAACTACTGCCACTGACTGGGGTAGCCAAGACCATACTAGTGTTAGGGGAAGCAGCATCTTGGCGATTCATTGACTGAACCTGGGGTTGGCAATTATTTGCTAGATAACTGAGGGCATGTTCTGTAACTTCTCAGCTGTATAACAGGAATATGGATTCTTTTATTGCAGGGCTGTTATGAATACAAAGATATGTTATGTTATGAAGTTAATGTATATCAAGGCCCCAGGATCCGACACACAGTGGGCTCACAATAAATAGTTAATATCATGTTTATGCACAGTGTATTCATTTTGATAATGGTACACACTTTGTAAAAATACAAATTTGAGCTCAAATTTTGACTTACACAATATAAACCTATGTGAAAAAAGAGCATCAAGGGATCACAATTAATTTTATTTTTTATTTATTTGACAGGTAGAGTTATAGACAGTGAGAGGGAGAGATAGAGAGAAAGGTTTTCCTTTTTCCGTTGGTTCACTCCCCAAATGGCCACTATGGCTGGAGCTGCGCCGATCTGAAGCCAGGAGTCAGGTGCTTCTTCCTGCTCTCCCATGCAGGTGCAAGGCCCAAGCACCTGGGCAATTCTCCACTGCCCTCCCAAGCCACAGCAGAGAGATGGACTGGAAGAGGAGCAACCGGGACTAGAACCGGTGCCCATATGGGATGCTGGTGCCACAGGCGAAGGATTAACCAAGTAAGCCACGGCACCGGCCCTAGATTAACTTTATATATACATAATTATATATGTATCTTGCATTCAGTCTGCTTCTGGTGGTTAAACTTGAATTACAGTCCCAAGGAATCACTGATTACATTAAACCAATATTAAATCCAGATTTAGAGACAACTGATCATAACATGAGGAAATGTTTTATTTTCTTAGAAAATCTCTTTTTAAAATAACAAAACAATAAAGATAATTAAAAATGAATCTTAATGAAGAATGGAATGGGAGAGGGAGTAGTAGGTGGGATGGTTTGGAGGTGGGAAGGTGAGTATGGGGGAAGAACTGCTATATTCCAAAAGTTGTACCTATGAATTTATATGTATTAAATAAAAGCCTTCTAAAAAATAAAAATAACGATACAGGGGCTGGTGCCCTGGCGTATTAGGCTAATCCTCCACCTGTGGCGCCAGCATCCCATTTGAGTGCCAGCTCATGTCCTGGCTGCTCTTCTTCCGATCCAGCTCTCAGCTTATGGCCTGGGAAAGCAATGGAATAGAGCCTAACCACATGGTAGACCCAGGAAGAAGCTCCTGGTTCCTGGCTTCAGATCAGCTCAGCCCTGGTCATTGTAGCCATTTTGGGGGTGAACCAGCAGATGGAAGACTTTTCTCTCCATCTCTCCCTTTATCTGTGAGCAACTCTACCTCTCAGAAAAATTTAAAAAATATTTTTTAAAGTAATGATATGGGGCATTGCAGTCATTTGGGGGAGTGAACCAGCAGATGGAAGATTCTCTCTCTCTGTGTCACTCTGCCTTTCAAATAAATCAATCAATCTTAAAAAATAAAATAGTAATGACATTTCACAGTTTTTTCTTCCCTCTCTGTTTAATACCACTAAGTGCCTATATTCAAAACTGATTTAAACTCCCACTGTTAAGATTCACTTAAAGTGACTGGTTTTTTTTTTTATCATAATTAATTATCATTTCCTGGCTAAATGACATTACTATGAGGAGCTTCTCTAGGACTCTACAGGAGATGTTTAAGTTGTGACACAACCCTCCTTCAGATCACAGCAGTTAGAAATATCCCACTACTAGGCCAGCGCCACGGCTCACTTGGCTAGTCCTCCGCCTGTGGCGCCGGTAGCCCGGGGTTCTAGTCCCAGTTGGGGAGCTGGATTCTGTCCCGGTTGCTCCTCTTCCAGTCCAGCTCTCTGCTGTGGCCCGAGAGGGCAGTGGAGGATGGCCCAAGTGCTTGGCCCTGCACCCACATGGGAGACCAGGAGGAAGCACCTGGCTCCTGGCTTTGGATTGGCGCAGCACATCAGCTGTAGCGACCATTTGGGGAGTGCACCAACAGAAGGAAGACCTTTCTCTCTGTCTCTCTCTCTCTCACTGTCTAACTCTGCCTGTCAGAAAAAAAAAAATCCCACTACTAGCTCCTGAAGGGCCAGGGCTACATCTTTCTGGTCTGTCTTCAGGAAATATCTTTTATTCACTGTTCATTCACCAAATATGTAGTTGGTTGCCCACCAAGAACCACGCATTGTCTTGGACTCTGAGGAGATGGCATGAACACAACAGACAAGGTCCTTATCCTACTGGAGCTCACATCCTAGTGATAAGTACCCCGGGGAAAGAGAGCAGGGTGTTGTTTGAAGCAGGTGACTGATGGTGAGAGTTTTTCTCTATAAAGATCTTCCCTAATGCAGTGACAGTTGAGACAGAAGGAATCAGCCATGCAAAAGCAGAGATTGGGAGTACCAGACAGGGTACCAGTGAGTTAGGAATGAGTGTGGGAGGTTCCGGGCAACGAGAGAAGACCAGTATGATCACAGCATGAACAGCAAAGGAGGAAGGGATGAGTTGTTCTATTCAAATGACTGGCAGAAGTAGTTAATACTTGAAGTATCCTTGCCCAGAATATGTACTAGAGAAATCACTCTGAAAGGATACAAGGGCTTCAATGTGCATGATAGGGTTTTCAGATTAGCAAAAGAGATGTTAGAAACGGACTTTTTACTGATTACTGATGAAGGAAGTGATTCAAGACAAGTGGCACCTCCACCTAGTGTGAGTGGGGCAGAGCAACCTGTGAGCCAGCAGGCTAATGTCCTTAGGAGAATCGCTCTGGGTCCAGGCCTCCATTGGGTCCTTTGTCCCCCAAGCTTAGGAGAGGATTCCATCACTTGACCCAACCAAAAAATTAGCTACTACAGTTTTCCTTCATTACTTTTACTATCCACAGTTTCAGTCATATGCAGTCCACTGCAGTCTGCAAATATTAAATAGAAAATTCCACTCTCTCCTCTCTCTCTCTCTGCATCTCCTTCTCTCTCTGTGTAACTCTTTCAGATAAATAAATCTTAAAATAGAAAATTCCAGAAATAAACATTCTATAACTTTTAAATAATTTTTGTTATCTTAATCATTATGTTTTATTACTAATTATTATTAATATATCACTGTGCCTAATTTATAAATAAATATAAAAGACATGTATGAATAAGAAAAGTCACAGTATATATAGGGTTTAGTACTAGCCACAGTTTCAAGTATTCACTGGGGGACTACTGTACAGTGCTGCATTTGACTGATTAAACCTTTCATGTGAGGAATTTGAGGGCATTTTTTTGACAGAGTGCGGAACTTCATCAAGCTTCTGAGTACTGCCTGCTAAAAACTGAATGTGGGGCAAAATGCAGTTTGAGAGTTGTATTTATTGTGACCTATCATTTTTCATGAGTTACCACTATCCCTTAGTAAGATCTGACAACTGGAAACAAAAAGCAAGCAAGTTTACTTGGCTTGACTTACCGCACAATGGTAAGAATTTGGATGTTATTCTGAAGGATCTGATTTATGACTAATTTGTACAGAATGTATTTGGGGGCAGGGAGCACAAGAATAGAAGTAAGTCATCAGAAAAAAAAAAAAAAACTATTGTAATGGCCTAGACCAACAACATGGTGGTAGCTTAAATAAGTCTTAATCTTTGTCTAGGGCAATGGCAATGGTTCTAGGGGAAAATGCATAAATTCCAAATATAACTTGGAAGTAGAATCAATGCTACTTACTGATGGTTATCTTTGGAAGGTTGAGGAAGAAAGAAGAATTAAAGATTGCTAGGATTTTAGTTGGAATACTTAGGTGAAAGTACTATTTACTGAAATAGCCACACTGGGAAGAACAGACATGCAGGAAGTAACCAAGAGTTCTATTTTGGACACATGAAGTTAGAGGAGCCTATTAAATATCCAAATGGGTTGGCCAATAATGGACATTTCCTCAATTCCCATTTACTTAATGAATTAAATAAACATTTCCATTTAAGGAGGATTAGTAACTTTTTCCTATGAATCATGCACAAATGGGGGCTGTCTCTCTTAAACTTTTTAATATGTATTACTGAAATGTGTACTCCAATGTAGTATGCACGTGGAAAGTATTATTCTGAACATGGGTCTGCAGGCTGAGTCCTAAGTCCACTGGAAATCAGATTTTAGAGCATTAAAT